CCTTCCCACGCTTTTAAAATAATCCAATTTTCTTTGAAATTTTATGAGAAATTTTAAGAGTTATGGATATTTTTGGGGTATGACAAGGCTAGTAACTAGAAAGCTTTAAATAAACTTGATAACTTAAGTTTCAAGTTTTATTTATTAAAAATTCAAGTTTATTATTTCAAGTTTATTAATAAACAAGTTTTATTAATTCAAGTTTATTAAACTTAGAGGCAAGTTTCAACTTAAGTTTATTTAAAAATCCAAGTTTATTAATAAACTTATTAAACTTAAACAAGTGCAAACTTATTCAAGTTTTCAAGTTTATAAACTTACAAATTAGTGCAAACTTAATATAACAAGTGCAAACGTGGGCAAGTTTCAAGTTTATAATTTATTCAAGTTTCAAACTTAGACAAGTTTATTTTTAAATAAACCTCTCACTTAAACTTGAAGTAGGCGCATTTATTTTTCAAGTTTATTCTAAGTTAAAATAGAGTTCCTTTATACAACTTTAAGTATGTAAATTATTCTTACAGGAAAAGAATAATTTATTTAAATTTTTTTAAACTTGAAAGATAACTTTAGAAAGGTCAGAATAATAAATAAATAGACATAAATAAATATTTAAGGGCTTTTTGATGGCTTCAAAGGGCTTTTTGCCTCATTTAAAAATATTCTTCCTTAATAAATTATCTATTTTAATAAATTATTTTTTTTCTTTAATAAATTACCCCAAAATTTAATTTTTAAATTTAAATTTCTCCTTGCCATCTGGTTTTAGAAAAAAAGTTTTTTTTAATTTAAAAAAGTGTTACACAAAAATAAATAAAAAAATAAAAAAAATAAAATTGCCAAGCATTTGTTTTTCATTTTCTCACGCTTTCAAAGCAATTTGGCAATAAAAGAAATCTTGTGAGACGCGTGGATTGCCTTAGAAAAAAATTTTTTTTCGTTTCCTCTTCTTGCAAAATCAATGTTTTGTGTTCCTTTCGAGGTTGTTAAAATTATTTTTTGAGGGGAAAAATTGGCAGTTATTTAGAAAAAAAAGTTTTTTTTATGTAAAAGACAACCTTAATAATAAAAAAAGGATTTTTTAGAAAGGAAGAAAATTGAAAAAAATATTAAGTCTGGAAAACAAGGGAAAAAGCAGTAAATATAAAAAGAAGAAAATGACAAGCAGAAAGGAAAATGCCATAACTCGGGAGATAGATGACTGACAAGAAAATTCCCTCAGGGGATTCATTCATTCTGCCAATCATTTTTACGTTAAAAAAAGCTGAGCGCAAAATTAATTTTGGCGTTTTCAAGTTTTGGCGTTTTACTAAGTTGCGCACATGCAAATTTTTATTAATTCAAGTTTAATTATAAAAACCTGATTTAAAACTTGTTTTAATACAACTTGTTTTAAATAAACTTGGAAAACACAAAATAAAATACATTATAAAAATAAACTTGTTCGTTTATAAGCTGGTTTTGATGTTTTTCAAGTTTATTTAAAAACAAGTTTATTTAAAACAAGTTTGTGTTTCACAAAACAAACATTTATTTATAAAAACACAACTTGTTTGTTTTATAAATAAAACATGTTTTTGTGTGTTTATTTAAAATAAACACACAAGACAAACATTTACCAAACAAACATGTTTATGTAAAAACACAAATGTTTTTATGTATTTTATTGTGTTTTATTAAAAGTTTTATTAAAAGAGTTAAATAAAGGCAAAAAATACATGTTTGTGTGAAAGGCAAAACATATTAAAACAAAACAGTAAAAACATTTAAAAAAGGCATCTCAAGTTAAAATTAAAAATATTGCAAAAATATATAAATATAATTATTTAAAAAAACGAATGGCACACACTATAATTGGGCAGTTCCTTATTTTAAATTTTCTTTTCTCAAGTTTAAAGACCATTTTCTACATTTTTTTTCTAATTTTCTTTTCGTTTTTAATGCCGTGCTCCATTAAAACGTTGTCCGCTACTTGTTGAATTTCGCTATAAAAAATAAAGAGTAAAAAATTTACTCAGACTAATTATAAATTACCTAAGGATGAGCGCCATTTTTGGCGTCTCAAAATATTTTTTCCCTCAAAAAAATTTTTTCCCTACCTGGCTTCGATGAAAGAGATCGCCTGTAGAAGTTTCTTGTTGTTGTGATTCTTTCTCCCCAGAATTATTTCCAAAAGGTTTGTGGTGTCCAGATATTTGTTGGGCATATCCAGTAAATACAGAAGATTGTTGTTGTGATTTATTACTTTCTTGACTGCTACGAGGGGAAGAAATCATTTCCATGGCGGAAGAAGAGGAAGAGCGTTGTTGTTGTTTAGAATTTGTGGGAGGAGGTGGACGTCTGGCTGCTGAACTTGCGTCGGGGGATAAATTCCAATAGGAGCCATAAAGAGAATAACGTCCGGGACCGGCCCAGAGTGGATTCTGAAATAATTAAAGTTGGTAAAGAAACACAGAATTTTGAGAAAATACAAACTTGAAGAGAAACAGTTAAAACACAACATATTTATAACTTGTGTTTTTTCAAGTTTATTTAAAACAAGTTTATTTAAAAACAAGCTTATTTAAAACAAGCTTATTTAAAACAAGTTTATTTAAAACAAGCTTATTTAAAACAAGTTTATTTAAAACAAGCTTATTTAAAACAAGCTTATTTAAAACAAGTTTATTTAAAACAAGCTTATTTAAAACAAGCTTATTTAAAACAAGTTTATTTAAAACAAGTTGTGTTTGTATTTATTTAAACAAAACAAACTTTAATTTATAAAAACACACAAACTTGTTCGTTTTACAAATAAAACATGTTTTTTGTGTTTACTTTTTGTGTTTACATTGTATTTCTATTCGCCAAACAAACTTGCTCACGAGAAAAGAAACATTTTCCGGAAAAATACATTTTAGAAAAATACAAAACATTCCGGAAAAACATTTAAATAGAGAAAAATACAAAATAGATTCCGGAAGAAATACATGTTTCCGGAAAAACATTTGAATATTATTAAAGTAGAAACACATTTTCAAAAACATGTAAACTTACGGGATTGTAAGCTAATTCAGCACTAAGTCTCTGCGCCGCCTTTTCCAAATGCTCCTCATAACTACCAACACCTAAATTAACAATTTTTTAAAATTCTTTCCAGGTTTACTACCTTCCGTTGGTGCAAAACTCCCACCATTTCCTTCATCAAGTTTGTTAACACGCATAGTGTAAACTGGCCTAATTTGGTATGCTGGTCCATAAAGTGTGCGTAGACGTTCTTGGGTTTGTCTGGAAATTTTTTAGAAAATATTATAGAAAAGACAAATCTAACCTTCTTCGACAACACAAAAATATAGCGACAACAAGCAGAACTACCAACCAAACAAGAACAATAGCTATAGGAATAACTATGGATAGCTCTGAAATTAAGGAAAATCAAAACACAAAAAATTAATTAACAAACTATTTGGAGTAACAACCCCTTCTAATAGAGAGTCACTTCCACTTTCTCTATCACTACCCCAATCTTCCATTAACAAATCATCACCATCCGGATTTTCTTGTTTATGTTTGGGTACTTGAGTGGTGCTAGGTTTTGTTTGAATAACAACTTTTTTGGTTGTAGCAACAGGCTTCTGTAAGAATTAGTATTTTTATATTTTTTTGTATTTTTTTTTTGTATTTTTGTGTTTTTATTTTTGTGTTTTCTTGTATTTTTATTTCATTATTTTTTGTATTTTTGTGTTTTTATTTTTGTGTTTTCTTGTATTTTTATTTTTGTAATTTTGTGTTTTCTCGTATTTTCGAGTTTCATGTATTTTGTGTTTTCTTATGTTTTCACAAATTTTTGTGTTTTCCTGTGTTTTTAAAAATTTAATTGTGTTTTACCGTTTTTGTATTATTAAAAACAAAGAGTAAGTTGTTTCTATCTTCCATAGTTGTTGTAATTAATGTTGTTGAAGTTTCTTCTGATATTAAACTTGTTGGCAACAATGTTTTTGTGTTTTCTGTTTGTGTGATGTTGTTTTTAATGTTTTTGTTGTCTTGCATGTTTTTACTGGTTTGTTTGTTGTTTTCGTTGTTTTCTTCTTCCCCAACATTTTCCATTTCTTCGTGTTTTTCATGTTTTGTTTGTTTCATGTTTTCCTTGTCTTCTACAGGCCAGATAGTTTCCATTGGTGGAGGTGAAGGGAAAACACCACTATTATTATTATTTCCATTAAATAAACTTTCATCTTCAATTTTATGTTGAAAACGTCCATCAAAAACAATTTTTGATGGAGATTTTTCTATTGGAACAAAACTTGGTAAACTTGCAACTTTTTCTGTTGTTTTAGCAGAAAACAATGTTTGTTGTTGAGGTGTTGTTTGTTGTAATGTTTTTGTTGTTGTTGTCTGTTTTGTTTGTAAATTGACTAATTCTGGTATAATTACATGTTGTTCTCCCTCATTTTCTTCTTCTCTCTCCTCTTCATGTTTTTCTTGTTGTTGCGATGACAACCATTTGTTTTTATCGTTATTTTTATTAAATGTTGGGATGTTTGTGGGAATGTTTGTTGTTGTAGTTGTTTTTATTGTTGTTCGAATATTAAAATCTTCAAATGCGTCTGGGGGCATTTCAAACTCTCTACTTTGAATTTGCACAATTGCTGGTTTTTTATTGGGCAAAATTGTTGGTGAAGGTTGTAATTGAAATTGTTTCTTTAAAAAAATAATTTTTTAATTATTTATTCATTTTTAATTTTTTCACCTCTTCACCGCTTTGCTCTTCCCTTGAAAAATCAGGCAAATTTTGGTGTTGCTGTTGTTCTCTCCCTTTGTCAAAATGTTCCTCCTCTTCTTCCTCCTCATTTTTAATTTTTTCTTTCTCTTCTGGAGGAGTTGGGGAAGTATTTGGTTGTCCTGATGCTATAGAATTTTCTATAGGTTTGGACGGCCCTGAGAGACTTGCAGAGAGTGTGTCACAATAGGGAGGTTGTAATTCTGGTCTTAAACAGGCTGAAGGGACCAACTCGTCTATTCTATAGAGCCAAATTCCTTGGGAACTGAAAAAGAAAAAAGTTTGATGAGATATGTCTTTGGGACAAAATGTCCCCTCTATGGGACGAAATGTCCTCTCTATAAACACACCGCGTATTGCTGAGTTGACTAAGCTGTTCAATACCTTCAGTACCGGAACCAGGCAATAAAATAGAGTTGTCTCTGTCTGGGGCCCTTTAAGAAACAACAAAAATTTTTTTAGAAAATTTCAAAAAATTTTCAAACATAATTCCAGCTTCAGCCTCTTCTCCCTCCCAATGTAAATCACGATAAAGAAACTGAACAAAAGTAACAGTAGAACTTTCCCCTCTTTTTTGCCTGTCTTTTCCACCAATTAATAGTGCTTGGAAGGTATTTGTAGCCTCTTTTGTTGTTTTAGTCATGCCTATACTAACGTTTGAATATGTTACTAATAAGGCGTGTGTTGCTACAAAACGAGGTTGTTGTTCGGAAGAAGCACCCAATTGTGTATTAATTAATTGGGCTGCTTTGCCTAATATTCGAGGATCCGTTGTTTCTTCAACTAGAATTTTTCCGTTTGAAGTCATATCGATGGGCACAAAGAGTGGGGCAACCTAAAAAAATTGGGGAAAATTTTTTTGGAAGTCTGTTCATGTTGTGAAGGGTTGTGTTTGATTTTCCTATTTTTTATTGCATTCTGGGGCCAGTAAAATTTTTTGGAAACCTTCGAGGCTTAGGACAACTGAACCGAAAAATGTGAAGTTTCTCTCTCTCCCCAAGAAAACCCAAGTAAATTTTTGGTTGAACTAAAAAGTGTCCTTAAGCCTAAGACAATCTGATAAATTTATTGGTAGATAAATTTGAACCCCTCATAGTCAAAAAAATTTACAAACAAGATTTCCAATAAGCTAGCTAAAACTATCAGTCCCCAATTCCATTAAGGTCATAGGTTTAGGAAGCTTCCAAAAATTTGTTACAGAACCCCAAGACAAACAAGAATAAAACCCAAATCCTTCCCAAAAATTCACCGAAAAATTCAACCAAAAAATCTCACCCCTTGAACATCCATCCCATCAAGTCTGTGTTGTTCATCCCCAGTAGAAGGAACATTCTTGGCCCCCTTCACCAAAATCAATCCATTATTTGTCAGCCAAATAGTGTCCCTGTCACGTCCAAATATTCGAAGAGGATGACTTAATCTCCATTCCATAACTCTTCCATCCTTTTCATTTGAAGGAAGTAAATGTGATTGGTCAAAAGGATAGAGGAAAGAAGCAACACATTCAGAAATGCCTTAAAAAAATTTTTGGAAATTTTTTTAAAAAATTTTTTTGAAATTTTTTTTGAAAATTTTTTTGAAAATTTTTTTGAAAATTTTTTGAAAATTTTTTGAAAATTTTTTGAAAAATTTTTTTGAAAATTTTTTTGAAAATTTTTTGAAAATTTTTTTTTAATTTTTGAAAAAATTTTTTCTTTGAAAATTTTCTTATAAAAAATCAATTTTACCATCGCCTTGAAACCCTTCAGGACATTGACAGAAAAATCTTCCCGGTGTATTTGAACACTGTGCTAATTGGTGGCAAACGCTTGGTTGTCGAGTACATTCATCCACATCTTTAAAAATTCAAAGAAATTTTTTTTTTAATTATCCAAACCTGAACATTCAGTGTATGGATCCCCTGTAAAGCCTGCCAAACACTCGCAACGATATTGAGGTTCTCCACATTTATTATAATCTGTCATTTGTAGAGCATTTTGGGCACATTTTGAGCCTTTGTTTGAACAACGGGATTGTTCTGAGAAAAAATCAGAATTTAATCAGAATTCTGAAAAAATCAGAATAAAATCAGAATTCTGAAAAAATCAGAATAGAATCAGAATTCTGAAAAAATCAGAATAAAATCAGAATTCTGAAAAAATCAGAATAAAATCAGAATTCTGAAAAAAATCAGAATTTCAGAAGAAATCAGAATTCTGATTTTCCCCCTCCTTACTTTGTTGACAAGCAATTCCTGTCCAGCACTGTGAACATTCGCTCTTCTTACATTCACCAGTAGCCTCATGACAAGTACCCTCTGCACAATGACAGCAACGGACACAATCTGGACCAAATTCGCCAGCTTTGCAAGCTAAAAATTTAAAAAATATTTTAATTTTTAAAATTAATTTTACCTTCATCACAAGTATCCCCCTTAATTCCAGCCTTGCATCGTTGAATTCTTTCATCTCCCAAAATAAACATCCATTCTCCTGGGATGCCTGAAAAATAAAGTAAAATAGAGAGAGAAAGAAAAGTATTGTCCGGTTGCAAATTAAATTCCGGACGATTATTCAAATTCCGGAAATGTTTCTATTTGATTTCCGGAATTGTAATGTCCAGAATTATACAGAAAATTAAAATGTATTTTCCGGTAGTATATTTCCGGAATTGTATTTTAATTAATAAATTAGTTTCCGAAAAAGTAATCTGATACCGGAAATGTATTCATAAATTCCGGAAATATTTATATTTGTATTTTCCGGAAACATTTTAAAATTCTGAATATATATTTGTAAATTTCCGGAAAAATACTTAAGTTAATTTTTCCGGTAATATATTTCCGGAAATGTATTTTCTTTAAAAATTAATTTCCGGAAAAATACTTCAGTTTAATTTTTGACATTTCTCGTTGTTACGGTATATTTTCCGGAAATATTTTCTTTTACAAATCCCTTACCAGTATTTCCATAATCCTCCAAATACATAATATTTCCAGTGCCAGAGGTTGGAAGGGCAAAGAAATTGTTTCCATCCCCAGCATTAAAACCGGCTTCTGCCCCTTGTGTCCATCCAATATTGCTGTAAATAAAATTAGCAAAAGTTCCATTGCTTGTGGAGAAGAGGGCTAATTGGAAAGTGTTGGTGTTCTTTAAAAAAAATTTTTTGATTCATTTAAAGTCAAATTACTTCATCAGGTAAAGGATCAGTCCCCACAGGCTGCATTTTATCAAATGTAACGAGCACTGCAGTGTGTACTTTAACTTCAAGTTCGTATTGGTAACGTATTTCGCTTTGACCACGGTCGAGTACACGGCCTCCTGAAATAATAAATGATTTAATTCTGATTTAAAGTGAATATCAAAATATTGCGTTAAAAATATAATCTTCCGGAAAATATAAAGTTTAATGATACTAATAAGAATCACTAATAATTGTGCTTCCGGAAAGTTAATTAAAAAATACAATTCCGGAAAGCATATATATTTTCCGGGACATGTAATATATACTAGATTCCGGAAAACATAAAATACAAAAAAAGAATTCCGGAAAACACATATATTCTCCGGAAAACATAGTATATATTTTCCGGAAAACACAAATTAGAAAATACAATTCCAGAAAATATGTATATTTTCTGGAAAGCATATATATTTTCCTGGACATGTAATACAGGTTCCGGAAAACACAAATTACAAAAATTATATTATTTCGGAAAACACAAATTACAAATATTACAATTCCGAAAAGGCTTAAAGGAGAGTAAATTAATTATTTATTTACCCGTAACTTCTCGATAAAATATTTTGCCCCCAACTCTCAAATCATTTCTATTCCAAAAGGGAGCAATTATTCTAACATTGCTAGGTAATATATTTGCTCTGTATTGACGTGCCGACTGTTCAAAACCAATCCCTCCATTACTCAATATCCAAATAGCAGAATGGGGTTGGCCATAAAATAGGAGGGGACGGGATAGAGGCATTCTTTTTGCAATATCCAAACCGCCCCCGTTACTGGACAATGATAATTCTTTGTCGTTTGCAGCTGGGCCGTATTCAAAGAGTCGAGAAGAAAATAATGGTGCTGTTACCTTTAAATAAAAAAAAATTTTTTTGAAATTTTTTTTAAAAAATTTTTTGAAATTTTTTTTGAAATTTTTTAAAAATTTTTTGAAAATTTTTTTTGAGAATTTTTTGAAAATTTTTTTTGAAAATTTTTTGAAAATTTTTTTTGAAAATTTTTTTTGAGAAAATTTTCTGAAAATTTCAAAAAAAATTTTTTCGAAAATTTTTTTTGAAAATTTTTTTAAAAAATTTTTTGAAAAATTTCTTTGATTTTTTTTTCAAATTTTCCGCCCCTCTCCAATTAAAAGGAAAATTTTTTTTATTCTTGCCTGTATAGTCTCTTCCTTTGGAGAACCCCCTCCTAGCAATTGTCTTCTATTTCTTCCGCCACTCCTCTCTTCAGCTTCTTCCATTTCGAGTCGAAGCCTGTCCATAATCCTTTGTGGATCAACACGCATAGATTTACAATGTTGAGCGGTTAAAATTAGAAAAGAAATAATAAAGCCGATAATAAGCATTTTTGGAGGCTAAAAAATTTTTTAGAAAATTAGGGGGAAATTAAAAAAAAAATTTTTTTTTAAATCAACATAACGCCAAAAAATAAAAAAAACACAATGCCAATGAAAATGGCAAAATAAAAATATTCAAAAATATTAAAATAAAAACAAAAAAATTTTTTCAAAAAAATATAGGCCATATATTGATCAAAAAATTTATTTATTTCTACTTGTACAAAAATCGTATAAATTAATTTTTAAGAGTAAAGTGAGTGAAGTGGGGACAACCACAAAAACAACCACTACGCTCTTCTTTTTAATAATTACCTTTACTTGGAAAGGAGGTTTTTAAGCAACTTTTAAAGAAATATAAAAGAAAAGCAGAAGTTGTATACGAAAAAAATTAATTGAGGAGAAAATACCTGAAAATATATATTTTTAGATTACCCACGGGACCGTCTAAAATCAGAAAATATAGAAAATGGGGAAAATCTGGGAGGAGAATAGCATTGCCTGGTAAGGGGATACGGGAGTTAGCTTCAGAAGGTAAGGATCCACAACCGAAGCCTCGGAGCTAACTTTTTAAAAGGTAGGAGCAACAAAACGCCCAATAGTTAGGCTCTGACCAGAACCGAAGTCAGAGCGAAGATTATTAAGGTGCCGGAGCCACAAAACGCCCAATAGTTAGGCACTGGAGAAAAGATAAAAATAATTTTTTTTTGTTAAATTTTAAAAATTAATTAATTAATTAAACAACAAAATATAAAGTGCAACAATTTATTCGATTATAAATTATTTTTAAAATAAATGGTTCAAGAAAAGCACAAAGTGTTTTATATTTGCAGTCAGAAAATTTTCGCCAAAACGGCGAGACAGTCAAAAGTCGACAATATTTTTATTTTTATTTATTAAAAGTGGAAATGAAGAGCTTTTTACAAGAATATTTTATAAAATATTTAAAGATGATGGAAAATTAATTGAGCTGGAATTTTTATATAGTAAAAAGGAAATCCATAAAGAAATAAATATTAAAATACAGTTGAAAATTATATTTTTGTTTAAATTGTGTTTTTGTTCCAGAAAAATATTTCTAAAATACAAACTTTAAATAAAATCGGAAAATACAACTAATTTAATTAAACCGTTGAAAAATACAAGTGAAAATACAAAAAACAGAATATCAGAAAAACAGGAGAAAATACAAAAATCAGAATATCAGAAAAACAAGAGAAAATACAAAAATCAGAATATCGGAAATAAAATAAAACACAAAAACCAGAATATCAGAAAAACAAGAGAAAATACAAAGCCAGAATATCAGAATTATTAAAAAACAAAAACATCGAAAACACATAGAAATAAATCAGAACAAAAGAAACACATAATTAAAACAAAAAGACAAAAATCAGAATTATCCTCATTTAATACTCCTTCCAACATAAGTATTTATTTTTCTTCAAAGATGAAGAGGATAATTTAGACGGATAAAAAAGTTTGAATAAAAAATCACATAAAAATAAATATAATAAACGGGTCGAATGATGGGAAGAGGAAAGAGGCAATAAGAAAATCAGAATAAAATCAGAAAAAAATTAATAAAATTAGAAAACAGGGGAAACAAAACAAAAAAAATCAGAAAAAATCAGAATTAATTTTTCTGATTTTAAAAATCAAAATAAATTAATTAGAAATCTTTCTATGTAAGGAATTTTCCTTTCTTTTTGTTCTAAAAAATCCCCCTTCTTTTTATTTAATTTTATTTAGTACATTGATTAAATCTCCCAGTTTCGGGATAAGGAAGGGAGTAATAAATGGAGGAGATATGTAAAGACGAGAATTTTTTTGTTAAAAACAAAAAATTGTGAATGCGTCGAAGATTGCAAAAACTAAAAAATGGGGAGGGGGAATTTTCGCTTTCTGTTTATTAAGTAATTAATTTAATGTTGGACCAGGAAAAAAGTTTTAGTTTATTAAGTATAATCTGAAAAACACGGAAAAACACAACAAAAATCAGAAAAATCAGAAAAACATTATGAACAAAACAAAATAAAAAATCAGAAATTAATCTGATCATGTTGTGTTGTTTTCTATTTTCTTTTAATCATGTTTTGTTTAAATTCTGATTTTTTCTTTAATTAAAATGTTTTCCGGAAAACACAACAAAATAAGAAAAACAGGTATTACTAAAAATCAGAAAAACATTATGAACAAAACAAAATTTAAAAAATCAGAAATTAATTTGAACATGTTGTTGTGTTGTTTTCTAGTTTCTTTTAATCATGTTTTGTTTATATTCTGATTTTTTCTTTAATTAAAATGTTTTTCGGAAAACACAACAAAATTCATAAAAACATTATATGTAGAAATAAAAATTAAATGGAAATCAGAATATAAACAAAACAAAATTTTAAAATCAGAAATTTACATGTTGTGTTGTTAATATTTTGTGTTTTTAATTAATTAATTATGTTTTGTTTGTATTCTGATTTTTTCTTTAATTAATATGTTCTTCCCAACATTAAAAATATCCTTTCTATATTTATTAAACTAAAAACTCTTAAAATGTCTTACCCGCCCTATTTCCTGCCCATTTTCTGTTTGAGGTCAAAATAAGGCGCTTTGCCTTTTTGAGCATTTTTAGACTTTTTTCTTCTTTAAGAAAACTTTTTTGATGTCATTTTTTATTTTCTTCCTCAATTTTGACCCTTCCGCCTTTTCAAGGACGTTCTCCTCCTCTCTTCCTTCTTCCTTTTAAAGGCGCCTTTTTACTTCCTTACAAAAATATAAATAAAACCACTTTTGTAAAAGAGGAAAATTGTCAAGAAAAAATTTACAAAAATTTTTTCGTAGAAGAGCGTGTCAGGAAAATAAAATGACTATTTTAAAGAATTGCACAATCTTCAATTTTTGTAAAGCTAAGCATTTAATCTCTTCTATTACCTCAATATATTATTGTGTGACCTAGAAATGGTTAAAAACCAGAATTAAAAAGATTTAAAAGTGGGTTAAAAACACATTAAAAACACAACTGCAAAGATTGAGCAACAACAGAATAAGAATAAAACACAAAACAAAGAAACATCAGAATAAAAATAAAACATGAAATTAAACAAAATCAGAATAAAATCAAAACATAAAAACATCAAAACAACAAAAAATAAAACACAAAACATCAGAAAATCAGAATAAAAATAAAACATGAAGATAAACAAAAACACATTCCGGAAAACACATTCCGGAAAATACAAATAATAATTAAAATTGTTTCTCATAAATATATAGTTGTATTTTTGTTGTATTTTTAACAATACTTTCCGGACCAAAAATACAAAAATATAAACCTCATAAACAAAACCAGAACAAAATCAAAACATAATTAAAAACAAAAGAAAATACAAAAAAATCAGAAATCCACCTGCATTTAAAATGTTTGTTTGTTCATATTTTGTTTGGGTCAATATAAAATTGTTTACGAACAGAAAATAAAGAGAAGTTTGCCTTTTAGTCGATCAGAGGGATCGTTCTTTTGTAAGAGGCTAAAGGCTTATAATATTTTTTATGGCCAAAAAATATTTTTTTATTTTTTAGGGGGAAATTGGTCAAATTTTTAATTTTTAAAAAATTCTGAAAAAATAGTAGAGGATTTTAGCAATATTTTTTAACCGTTGAAGTGAAGAAAATGCTCTGTATTATTAGGGAGAAAAAAGGTTTTCTGATAGGAAGGGGATAGGCAATTGTATATTTGAATATATCGGTGAATTGCATGCTTTGCTTTATTTTATATTTTTTCTGTTTTGTTTGTTGCTACTATGCGCGATGGCCTTGTCCCGGCAAGGCCATGATGAAGGTTTGGTGGTCATTTAAGCCTACAGGTGAGAGATGAATAGAGGAAAGAAAAAGGGACAATTTTGTGGTTTTAAAGAGGATCAGACGGAGAAAGGAAAAAAAAGAAAAAAATTTTTTGGAAACCAAAATTACGCCTTGGCTCCCCTCTTAGTTAGATTTGCGCCTTTCCTTGTGCATTTAAGGGCAATCAGGTGTAAATCAAAAAATTTTCTCAATAAGATTTTCTGTGTTAAATGATTTGTATAATATTAAATTATAGATATTATGGTTTAAAAATGATGAAAAAAAATTTTTGGGGGAAAATAAAGAAGAAAATAAGAATTTTATTTATGCGTATACTGAAGGGGGTATAGTAGGTAGAGTGGTATTTAATAAAATCAGAATTTATTTGATAAAAATCAGAATTTATTCAAATTGTTGTGTTTTCCGGAAATTAAATTGTTTTATGGAAGAATCAGAATTTGTATTTTCCAAAACAACAGGAACAAATAAATTAACTAGGTGTATTTTCCGTAAAGATCAGAATAAAAAAATAATTTCATCATTATTTGTGTTTTCCGGAAAGCTGAAAAAGTTACAGAAAAACCAGAATTTAATAAAAACATGAAGAGAATAGAAATCAGAATTTAATAAAAACAAAGAAAAATAAAAATCAGAATTTAATAAAAACATGAAGAAAATACATATGTTTTTATTAAATTCTGATTTTTATTTTTCAGAATTTAATCAGAATTTAATAAAAACACATTTTCTTCATGTTTTTATTAAATTCTGATTTTTATTTTCCTCATTAATTTTTACGCGTCTTTGAGGATAAAAGCAAAAGTGTTGGTGTAGTGCGCTAATAAAACGGCAATAATAATATTAATAAAATATTTTGATAATAATCTAAAATATATTTATTTATAATTCCAAAAAATGAATATTTTTAATAAAAAAAAAAAAATAATTTCTCTCTATTCTCTGACGTTGAAAATTAAAAACAAAGAAAAATGATCAGATATGGAAATTAAAATAAAATAACATGTTTGTGCGGGCATTTCCGACATTCTTGAAGAGAAACAGTTAAAACACAACATATTTATAACTTGTGTTTTTTCAAGTTTATTTAAAACAAGTTTATTTAAAAACAAGCTTATTTAAAACAAGCTTATTTAAAACAAGTTTATTTAAAACAAGCTTATTTAAAACAAGTTTATTTAAAACAAGCTTATTTAAAACAAGCTTATTTAAAACAAGTTTATTTAAAACAAGCTTATTTAAAACAAGCTTATTTAAAACAAGTTTATTTAAAACAAGTTGTGTTTGTATTTATTTAAACAAAACAAACTTTAATTTATAAAAACACACAAACTTGTTCGTTTTACAAATAAAACATGTTTTTTGTGTTTACTTTTTGTGTTTACATTGTATTTCTATTCGCCAAACAAACTTGCTCACGAGAAAAGAAACATTTTCCGGAAAAATACATTTTAGAAAAATACAAAACATTCCGGAAAAACATTTAAATAGAGAAAAATACAAAATAGATTCCGGAAGAAATACATGTTTCCGGAAAAACATTTGAATATTATTAAAGTAGAAACACATTTTCAAAAACATGTAAACTTACGGGATTGTAAGCTAATTCAGCACTAAGTCTCTGCGCCGCCTTTTCCAAATGCTCCTCATAACTACCAACACCTAAATTAACAATTTTTTAAAATTCTTTCCAGGTTTACTACCTTCCGTTGGTGCAAAACTCCCACCATTTCCTTCATCAAGTTTGTTAACACGCATAGTGTAAACTGGCCTAATTTGGTATGCTGGTCCATAAAGTGTGCGTAGACGTTCTTGGGTTTGTCTGGAAATTTTTTAGAAAATATTATAGAAAAGACAAATCTAACCTTCTTCGACAACACAAAAATATAGCGACAACAAGCAGAACTACCAACCAAACAAGAACAATAGCTATAGGAATAACTATGGATAGCTCTGAAATTAAGGAAAATCAAAACACAAAAAATTAATTAACAAACTATTTGGAGTAACAACCCCTTCTAATAGAGAGTCACTTCCACTTTCTCTATCACTACCCCAATCTTCCATTAACAAATCATCACCATCCGGATTTTCTTGTTTATGTTTGGGTACTTGAGTGGTGCTAGGTTTTGTTTGAATAACAACTTTTTTGGTTGTAGCAACAGGCTTCTGTAAGAATTAGTATTTTTATATTTTTTTGTATTTTTTTTTTGTATTTTTGTGTTTTTATTTTTGTGTTTTCTTGTATTTTTATTTCATTATTTTTTGTATTTTTGTGTTTTTATTTTTGTGTTTTCTTGTATTTTTATTTTTGTAATTTTGTGTTTTCTCGTATTTTCGAGTTTCATGTATTTTGTGTTTTCTTATGTTTTCACAAATTTTTGTGTTTTCCTGTGTTTTTAAAAATTTAATTGTGTTTTACCGTTTTTGTATTATTAAAAACAAAGAGTAAGTTGTTTCTATCTTCCATAGTTGTTGTAATTAATGTTGTTGAAGTTTCTTCTGATATTAAACTTGTTGGCAACAATGTTTTTGTGTTTTCTGTTTGTGTGATGTTGTTTTTAATGTTTTTGTTGTCTTGCATGTTTTTACTGGTTTGTTTGTTGTTTTCGTTGTTTTCTTCTTCCCCAACATTTTCCATTTCTTCGTGTTTTTCATGTTTTGTTTGTTTCATGTTTTCCTTGTCTTCTACAGGCCAGATAGTTTCCATTGGTGGAGGTGAAGGGAAAACACCACTATTATTATTATTTCCATTAAATAAACTTTCATCTTCAATTTTATGTTGAAAACGTCCATCAAAAACAATTTTTGATGGAGATTTTTCTATTGGAACAAAACTTGGTAAACTTGCAACTTTTTCTGTTGTTTTAGCAGAAAACAATGTTTGTTGTTGAGGTGTTGTTTGTTGTAATGTTTTTGTTGTTGTTGTCTGTTTTGTTTGTAAATTGACTAATTCTGGTATAATTACATGTTGTTCTCCCTCATTTTCTTCTTCTCTCTCCTCTTCATGTTTTTCTTGTTGTTGCGATGACAACCATTTGTTTTTATCGTTATTTTTATTAAATGTTGGGATGTTTGTGGGAATGTTTGTTGTTGTAGTTGTTTTTATTGTTGTTCGAATATTAAAATCTTCAAATGCGTCTGGGGGCATTTCAAACTCTCTACTTTGAATTTGCACAATTGCTGGTTTTTTATTGGGCAAAATTGTTGGTGAAGGTTGTAATTGAAATTGTTTCTTTAAAAAAATAATTTTTTAATTATTTATTCATTTTTAATTTTTTCACCTCTTCACCGCTTTGCTCTTCCCTTGAAAAATCAGGCAAATTTTGGTGTTGCTGTTGTTCTCTCCCTTTGTCAAAATGTTCCTCCTCTTCTTCCTCCTCATTTTTAATTTTTTCTTTCTCTTCTGGAGGAGTTGGGGAAGTATTTGGTTGTCCTGATGCTATAGAATTTTCTATAGGTTTGGACGGCCCTGAGAGACTTGCAGAGAGTGTGTCACAATAGGGAGGTTGTAATTCTGGTCTTAAACAGGCTGAAGGGACCAACTCGTCTATTCTATAGAGCCAAATTCCTTGGGAACTGAAAAAGAAAAAAGTTTGATGAGATATGTCTTTGGGACAAAATGTCCCCTCTATGGGACGAAATGTCCTCTCTATAAACACACCGCGTATTGCTGAGTTGACTAAGCTGTTCAATACCTTCAGTACCGGAACCAGGCAATAAAATAGAGTTGTCTCTGTCTGGGGCCCTTTAAGAAACAACAAAAATTTTTTTAGAAAATTTCAAAAAATTTTCAAACATAATTCCAGCTTCAGCCTCTTCTCCCTCCCAATGTAAATCACGATAAAGAAACTGAACAAAAGTAACAGTAGAACTTTCCCCTCTTTTTTGCCTGTCTTTTCCACCAATTAATAGTGCTTGGAAGGTATTTGTAGCCTCTTTTGTTGTTTTAGTCATGCCTATACTAACGTTTGAATATGTTACTAATAAGGCGTGTGTTGCTACAAAACGAGGTTGTTGTTCGGAAGAAGCACCCAATTGTGTATTAATTAATTGGGCTGCTTTGCCTAATATTCGAGGATCCGTTGTTTCTTCAACTAGAATTTTTCCGTTTGAAGTCATATCGATGGGCACAAAGAGTGGGGCAACCTAAAAAAATTGGGGAAAATTTTTTTGGAAGTCTGTTCATGTTGTGAAGGGTTGTGTTTGATTTTCCTATTTTTTATTGCATTCTGGGGCCAGTAAAATTTTTTGGAAACCTTCGAGGCTTAGGACAACTGAACCGAAAAATGTGAAGTTTCTCTCTCTCCCCAAGAAAACCCAAGTAAATTTTTGGTTGAACTAAAAAGTGTCCTTAAGCCTAAGACAATCTGATAAATTTATTGGTAGATAAATTTGAACCCCTCATAGTCAAAAAAATTTACAAACAAGATTTCCAATAAGCTAGCTAAAACTATCAGTCCCCAATTCCATTAAGGTCATAGGTTTAGGAAGCTTCCAAAAATTTGTTACAGAACCCCAAGACAAACAAGAATAAAACCCAAATCCTTCCCAAAAATTCACCGAAAAATTCAACCAAAAAATCTCACCCCTTGAACATCCATCCCATCAAGTCTGTGTTGTTCATCCCCAGTAGAAGGAACATTCTTGGCCCCCTTCACCAAAATCAATCCATTATTTGTCAGCCAAATAGTGTCCCTGTCACGTCCAAATATTCGAAGAGGATGACTTAATCTCCATTCCATAACTCTTCCATCCTTTTCATTTGAAGGAAGTAAATGTGATTGGTCAAAAGGATAGAGGAAAGAAGCAACACATTCAGAAATGCCTTAAAAAAATTTTTGGAAATTTTTTTAAAAAATTTTTTTGAAATTTTTTTTGAAAATTTTTTTGAAAATTTTTTTGAAAATTTTTTGAAAATTTTTTGAAAATTTTTTGAAAAATTTTTTTGAAAATTTTTTTGAAAATTTTTTGAAAATTTTTTTTTAATTTTTGAAAAAATTTTTTCTTTGAAAATTTTCTTATAAAAAATCAATTTTACCATCGCCTTGAAACCCTTCAGGACATTGACAGAAAAATCTTCCCGGTGTATTTGAACACTGTGCTAATTGGTGGCAAACGCTTGGTTGTCGAGTACATTCATCCACATCTTTAAAAATTCAAAGAAATTTTTTTTTTAATTATCCAAACCTGAACATTCAGTGTATGGATCCCCTGTAAAGCCTGCCAAACACTCGCAACGATATTGAGGTTCTCCACATTTATTATAATCTGTCATTTGTAGAGCATTTTGGGCACATTTTGAGCCTTTGTTTGAACAACGGGATTGTTCTGAGAAAAAATCAGAATTTAATCAGAATTCTGAAAAAATCAGAATAAAATCAGAATTCTGAAAAAATCAGAATAGAATCAGAATTCTGAAAAAATCAGAATAAAATCAGAATTCTGAAAAAATCAGAATAAAATCAGAATTCTGAAAAAAATCAGAATTTCAGAAGAAATCAGAATTCTGATTTTCCCCCTCCTTACTTTGTTGACAAGCAATTCCTGTCCAGCACTGTGAACATTCGCTCTTCTTACATTCACCAGTAGCCTCATGACAAGTACCCTCTGCACAATGACAGCAACGGACACAATCTGGACCAAATTCGCCAGCTTTGCAAGCTAAAAATTTAAAAAATATTTTAATTTTTAAAATTAATTTTACCTTCATCACAAGTATCCCCCTTAATTCCAGCCTTGCATCGTTGAATTCTTTCATCTCCCAAAATAAACATCCATTCTCCTGGGATGCCTGAAAAATAAAGTAAAATAGAGAGAGAAAGAAAAGTATTGTCCGGTTGCAAATTAAATTCCGGACGATTATTCAAATTCCGGAAATGTTTCTATTTGATTTCCGGAATTGTAATGTCCAGAATTATACAGAAAATTAAAATGTATTTTCCGGTAGTATATTTCCGGAATTGTATTTTAATTAATAAATTAGTTTCCGAAAAAGTAATCTGATACCGGAAATGTATTCATAAATTCCGGAAATATTTATATTTGTATTTTCCGGAAACATTTTAAAATTCTGAATATATATTTGTAAATTTCCGGAAAAATACTTAAGTTAATTTTTCCGGTAATATATTTCCGGAAATGTATTTTCTTTAAAAATTAATTTCCGGAAAAATACTTCAGTTTAATTTTTGACATTTCTCGTTGTTACGGTATATTTTCCGGAAATATTTTCTTTTACAAATCCCTTACCAGTATTTCCATAATCCTCCAAATACATAATATTTCCAGTGCCAGAGGTTGGAAGGGCAAAGAAATTGTTTCCATCCCCAGCATTAAAACCGGCTTCTGCCCCTTGTGTCCATCCAATATTGCTGTAAATAAAATTAGCAAAAGTTCCATTGCTTGTGGAGAAGAGGGCTAATTGGAAAGTGTTGGTGTTCTTTAAAAAAAATTTTTTGATTCATTTAAAGTCAAATTACTTCATCAGGTAAAGGATCAGTCCCCACAGGCTGCATTTTATCAAATGTAACGAGCACTGCAGTGTGTACTTTAACTTCAAGTTCGTATTGGTAACGTATTTCGCTTTGACCACGGTCGAGTACACGGCCTCCTGAAATAATAAATGATTTAATTCTGATTTAAAGTGAATATCAAAATATTGCGTTAAAAATATAATCTTCCGGAAAATATAAAGTTTAATGATACTAATAAGAATCACTAATAATTGTGCTTCCGGAAAGTTAATTAAAAAATACAATTCCGGAAAGCATATATATTTTCCGGGACATGTAATATATACTAGATTCCGGAAAACATAAAATACAAAAAAAGAATTCCGGAAAACACATATATTCTCCGGAAAACATAGTATATATTTTCCGGAAAACACAAATTAGAAAATACAATTCCAGAAAATATGTATATTTTCTGGAAAGCATATATATTTTCCTGGACATGTAATACAGGTTCCGGAAAACACAAATTACAAAAATTATATTATTTCGGAAAACACAAATTACAAATATTACAATTCCGAAAAGGCTTAAAGGAGAGTAAATTAATTATTTATTTACCCGTAACTTCTCGATAAAATATTTTGCCCCCAACTCTCAAATCATTTCTATTCCAAAAGGGAGCAATTATTCTAACATTGCTAGGTAATATATTTGCTCTGTATTGACGTGCCGACTGTTCAAAACCAATCCCTCCATTACTCAATATCCAAATAGCAGAATGGGGTTGGCCATAAAATAGGAGGGGACGGGATAGAGGCATTCTTTTTGCAATATCCAAACCGCCCCCGTTACTGGACAATGATAATTCTTTGTCGTTTGCAGCTGGGCCGTATTCAAAGAGTCGAGAAGAAAATAATGGTGCTGTTACCTTTAAATAAAAAAAAATTTTTTTGAAATTTTTTTTAAAAAATTTTTTGAAATTTTTTTTGAAATTTTTTAAAAATTTTTTGAAAATTTTTTTTGAGAATTTTTTGAAAATTTTTTTTGAAAATTTTTTGAAAATTTTTTTTGAAAATTTTTTTTGAGAAAATTTTCTGAAAATTTCAAAAAAAATTTTTTCGAAAATTTTTTTTGAAAATTTTTTTAAAAAATTTTTTGAAAAATTTCTTTGATTTTTTTTTCAAATTTTCCGCCCCTCTCCAATTAAAAGGAAAATTTTTTTTATTCTTGCCTGTATAGTCTCTTCCTTTGGAGAACCCCCTCCTAGCAATTGTCTTCTATTTCTTCCGCCACTCCTCTCTTCAGCTTCTTCCATTTCGAGTCGAAGCCTGTCCATAATCCTTTGTGGATCAACACGCATAGATTTACAATGTTGAGCGGTTAAAATTAGAAAAGAAATAATAAAGCCGATAATAAGCATTTTTGGAGGCTAAAAAATTTTTTAGAAAATTAGGGGGAAATTAAAAAAAAAATTTTTTTTTAAATCAACATAACGCCAAAAAATAAAAAAAACACAATGCCAATGAAAATGGCAAAATAAAAATATTCAAAAATATTAAAATAAAAACAAAAAAATTTTTTCAAAAAAATATAGGCCATATATTGATCAAAAAATTTATTTATTTCTACTTGTACAAAAATCGTATAAATTAATTTTTAAGAGTAAAGTGAGTGAAGTGGGGACAACCACAAAAACAACCACTACGCTCTTCTTTTTAATAATTACCTTTACTTGGAAAGGAGGTTTTTAAGCAACTTTTAAAGAAATATAAAAGAAAAGCAGAAGTTGTATACGAAAAAAATTAATTGAGGAGAAAATACCTGAAAATATATATTTTTAGATTACCCACGGGACCGTCTAAAATCAGAAAATATAGAAAATGGGGAAAATCTGGGAGGAGAATAGCATTGCCTGGTAAGGGGATACGGGAGTTAGCTTCAGAAGGTAAGGATCCACAACCGAAGCCTCGGAGCTAACTTTTTAAAAGGTAGGAGCAACAAAACGCCCAATAGTTAGGCTCTGACCAGAACCGAAGTCAGAGCGAAGATTATTAAGGTGCCGGAGCCACAAAACGCCCAATAGTTAGGCACTGGAGAAAAGATAAAAATAATTTTTTTTTGTTAAATTTTAAAAATTAATTAATTAATTAAACAACAAAATATAAAGTGCAACAATTTATTCGATTATAAATTATTTTTAAAATAAATGGTTCAAGAAAAGCACAAAGTGTTTTATATTTGCAGTCAGAAAATTTTCGCCAAAACGGCGAGACAGTCAAAAGTCGACAATATTTTTATTTTTATTTATTAAAAGTGGAAATGAAGAGCTTTTTACAAGAATATTTTATAAAATATTTAAAGATGATGGAAAATTAATTGAGCTGGAATTTTTATATAGTAAAAAGGAAATCCATAAAGAAATAAATATTAAAATACAGTTGAAAATTATATTTTTGTTTAAATTGTGTTTTTGTTCCAGAAAAATATTTCTAAAATACAAACTTTAAATAAAATCGGAAAATACAACTAATTTAATTAAACCGTTGAAAAATACAAGTGAAAATACAAAAAACAGAATATCAGAAAAACAGGAGAAAATACAAAAATCAGAATATCAGAAAAACAAGAGAAAATACAAAAATCAGAATATCGGAAATAAAATAAAACACAAAAACCAGAATATCAGAAAAACAAGAGAAAATACAAAGCCAGAATATCAGAATTATTAAAAAACAAAAACATCGAAAACACATAGAAATAAATCAGAACAAAAGAAACACATAATTAAAACAAAAAGACAAAAATCAGAATTATCCTCATTTAATACTCCTTCCAACATAAGTATTTATTTTTCTTCAAAGATGAAGAGGATAATTTAGACGGATAAAAAAGTTTGAATAAAAAATCACATAAAAATAAATATAATAAACGGGTCGAATGATGGGAAGAGGAAAGAGGCAATAAGAAAATCAGAATAAAATCAGAAAAAAATTAATAAAATTAGAAAACAGGGGAAACAAAACAAAAAAAATCAGAAAAAATCAGAATTAATTTTTCTGATTTTAAAAATCAAAATAAATTAATTAGAAATCTTTCTATGTAAGGAATTTTCCTTTCTTTTTGTTCTAAAAAATCCCCCTTCTTTTTATTTAATTTTATTTAGTACATTGATTAAATCTCCCAGTTTCGGGATAAGGAAGGGAGTAATAAATGGAGGAGATATGTAAAGACGAGAATTTTTTTGTTAAAAACAAAAAATTGTGAATGCGTCGAAGATTGCAAAAACTAAAAAATGGGGAGGGGGAATTTTCGCTTTCTGTTTATTAAGTAATTAATTTAATGTTGGACCAGGAAAAAAGTTTTAGTTTATTAAGTATAATCTGAAAAACACGGAAAAACACAACAAAAATCAGAAAAATCAGAAAAACATTATGAACAAAACAAAATAAAAAATCAGAAATTAATCTGATCATGTTGTGTTGTTTTCTATTTTCTTTTAATCATGTTTTGTTTAAATTCTGATTTTTTCTTTAATTAAAATGTTTTCCGGAAAACACAACAAAATAAGAAAAACAGGTATTACTAAAAATCAGAAAAACATTATGAACAAAACAAAATTTAAAAAATCAGAAATTAATTTGAACATGTTGTTGTGTTGTTTTCTAGTTTCTTTTAATCATGTTTTGTTTATATTCTGATTTTTTCTTTAATTAAAATGTTTTTCGGAAAACACAACAAAATTCATAAAAACATTATATGTAGAAATAAAAATTAAATGGAAATCAGAATATAAACAAAACAAAATTTTAAAATCAGAAATTTACATGTTGTGTTGTTAATATTTTGTGTTTTTAATTAATTAATTATGTTTTGTTTGTATTCTGATTTTTTCTTTAATTAATATGTTCTTCCCAACATTAAAAATATCCTTTCTATATTTATTAAACTAAAAACTCTTAAAATGTCTTACCCGCCCTATTTCCTGCCCATTTTCTGTTTGAGGTCAAAATAAGGCGCTTTGCCTTTTTGAGCATTTTTAGACTTTTTTCTTCTTTAAGAAAACTTTTTTGATGTCATTTTTTATTTTCTTCCTCAATTTTGACCCTTCCGCCTTTTCAAGGACGTTCTCCTCCTCTCTTCCTTCTTCCTTTTAAAGGCGCCTTTTTACTTCCTTACAAAAATATAAATAAAACCACTTTTGTAAAAGAGGAAAATTGTCAAGAAAAAATTTACAAAAATTTTTTCGTAGAAGAGCGTGTCAGGAAAATAAAATGACTATTTTAAAGAATTGCACAATCTTCAATTTTTGTAAAGCTAAGCATTTAATCTCTTCTATTACCTCAATATATTATTGTGTGACCTAGAAATGGTTAAAAACCAGAATTAAAAAGATTTAAAAGTGGGTTAAAAACACATTAAAAACACAACTGCAAAGATTGAGCAACAACAGAATAAGAATAAAACACAAAACAAAGAAACATCAGAATAAAAATAAAACATGAAATTAAACAAAATCAGAATAAAATCAAAACATAAAAACATCAAAACAACAAAAAATAAAACACAAAACATCAGAAAATCAGAATAAAAATAAAACATGAAGATAAACAAAAACACATTCCGGAAAACACATTCCGGAAAATACAAATAATAATTAAAATTGTTTCTCATAAATATATAGTTGTATTTTTGTTGTATTTTTAACAATACTTTCCGGACCAAAAATACAAAAATATAAACCTCATAAACAAAACCAGAACAAAATCAAAACATAATTAAAAACAAAAGAAAATACAAAAAAATCAGAAATCCACCTGCATTTAAAATGTTTGTTTGTTCATATTTTGTTTGGGTCAATATAAAATTGTTTACGAACAGAAAATAAAGAGAAGTTTGCCTTTTAGTCGATCAGAGGGATCGTTCTTTTGTAAGAGGCTAAAGGCTTATAATATTTTTTATGGCCAAAAAATATTTTTTTATTTTTTAGGGGGAAATTGGTCAAATTTTTAATTTTTAAAAAATTCTGAAAAAATAGTAGAGGATTTTAGCAATATTTTTTAACCGTTGAAGTGAAGAAAATGCTCTGTATTATTAGGGAGAAAAAAGGTTTTCTGATAGGAAGGGGATAGGCAATTGTATATTTGAATATATCGGTGAATTGCATGCTTTGCTTTATTTTATATTTTTTCTGTTTTGTTTGTTGCTACTATGCGCGATGGCCTTGTCCCGGCAAGGCCATGATGAAGGTTTGGTGGTCATTTAAGCCTACAGGTGAGAGATGAATAGAGGAAAGAAAAAGGGACAATTTTGTGGTTTTAAAGAGGATCAGACGGAGAAAGGAAAAAAAAGAAAAAAATTTTTTGGAAACCAAAATTACGCCTTGGCTCCCCTCTTAGTTAGATTTGCGCCTTTCCTTGTGCATTTAAGGGCAATCAGGTGTAAATCAAAAAATTTTCTCAATAAGATTTTCTGTGTTAAATGATTTGTATAATATTAAATTATAGATATTATGGTTTAAAAATGATGAAAAAAAATTTTTGGGGGAAAATAAAGAAGAAAATAAGAATTTTATTTATGCGTATACTGAAGGGGGTATAGTAGGTAGAGTGGTATTTAATAAAATCAGAATTTATTTGATAAAAATCAGAATTTATTCAAATTGTTGTGTTTTCCGGAAATTAAATTGTTTTATGGAAGAATCAGAATTTGTATTTTCCAAAACAACAGGAACAAATAAATTAACTAGGTGTATTTTCCGTAAAGATCAGAATAAAAAAATAATTTCATCATTATTTGTGTTTTCCGGAAAGCTGAAAAAGTTACAGAAAAACCAGAATTTAATAAAAACATGAAGAGAATAGAAATCAGAATTTAATAAAAACAAAGAAAAATAAAAATCAGAATTTAATAAAAACATGAAGAAAATACATATGTTTTTATTAAATTCTGATTTTTATTTTTCAGAATTTAATCAGAATTTAATAAAAACACATTTTCTTCATGTTTTTATTAAATTCTGATTTTTATTTTCCTCATTAATTTTTACGCGTCTTTGAGGATAAAAGCAAAAGTGTTGGTGTAGTGCGCTAATAAAACGGCAATAATAATATTAATAAAATATTTTGATAATAATCTAAAATATATTTATTTATAATTCCAAAAAATGAATATTTTTAATAAAAAAAAAAAAATAATTTCTCTCTATTCTCTGACGTTGAAAATTAAAAACAAAGAAAAATGATCAGATATGGAAATTAAAATAAAATAACATGTTTGTGCGGGCATTTCCGAAATTTTTCCTCCTTCTTAAATTTTCCTCCTTAAATTCCCTCAAAAGAGCTAAAATCGTTTTTGTTCCTTATAAATTTTTGGAAAGAGAGATATGACCCAAAAAAACACAAAAATTATTTATCCGGATGTGTTTTGTTGGAATGTTGTTAAACACTCTATTTTTAATAAGGTAGTGAATGTTGGGGGGTTAATTAAAAATACAGAGGTGTATGGAAAAATCAAGACTATTTAATAAAACACTTTTTATTAAAAATCAGAATTTAAAAAAATATGAGAAATTAAATTAACTTTTGTGTTTTCCGGAAAGCATCAGAATTTATATGTATTTTAGTTGTGTTTTCCGGTTGTGTTTTCTTGACAGAAAGGGTTGTGTTTGTGTGTTGCGCTTGTGTTTTCCGGAAAGTTTAATTTTATTGTTTTCCGGAAAGCATCAGAATTTGTATTTTGGTCGTGTTTTCCGGTTGTGTTTTCCTGAATGAAATAATTGTAAGAGTTGCGCTTGTGTTTTCCGGAAAGAATCAGATAAACAAAAATTAAATAAAAACACAAAACACAATTATTAAAAACACAATAAAAACACATATTTAATAAAAAAATACAAAAACAAACATATTCATTTTGCTTCAATTTAAAAATCAGAATTTTCAAAAAAATCAGAATTTAAAAAGAACCTTCGGTTTAAGACTCTTCAAGCAAGCTATAATTTAATTTTTTTACTATTTTTAATTAAAAAAAATTTTTTTTAATTAAAAAAAAAATTTTTAATATTTTTTTCTCTTTTTTTCCTTTAATTTATTTTTTTCTTCCCTCCATTTATTTATTTTTTTCCATTTTTATTTATTTATTAAAGTGCTTATTGTAATAAACCATATTTATGTCATTGTTATTATTTGCTTGTTACTCATAAAAAGCTTTTAAATATTTTTTTTTATTTTTTTTAAAAATTATTTTTATTCGTTAGATTTCACTCTGTTCGCTTTTTAAGCCTGAAAAAATTTTATTTTTATTTATTTTTTTTTAACAATTACAGACAAAAAAACAAATTAATTATTTTCACCCAATAAACACCTAAAATTGGTCCCCTAGGCAACCAATAAATTTATAAACGTCTGAAAAATATTTTATTTTGCCTGAGGCGTTTTTCCATTTTATCCTGTTGTTTTTTAACCCATTTATAATCCTTTAAGCTAAACTTAAAGCTTATTTAAATAGTCTACTTAAATATTTTTTGGTTGATTTTTAATCCTATTTGGTTCCAAAATGTTTTTTTTAAAATAAGGAGATTGTGTAGAAAAATAGAAAAATAAAAAGAATTAATGTCATAGTAACCTAAAAAAGGTGGTGATGATTTTTAAAGAACAATAGACTTTAAGAGAAAAATTTTTTTTAAATTTTTTGTTTCTTTCAAAATTTTCTTCTTTCAATGTTCTTACATTGGCTTACCAATTTTTTATAAAATCAAAAAAAAATATTTTTTTGGTAAAATTTTATTCCCGAAAATTATGAGTCCAAAATTACAGATTTTAAAAAGCGAAAGAGCACACCCTTGGAAAACAAGGATCCTGCCATTATAAAAAATAAATTCCCAAATTCGAAATTCCCAAATTCCGCCTACATAAACATTATGCCAAAAATAGTTAAATTAAAAATTTTTTTCTGAAATTTCAAAAATGTGAATTAAAATGAAAGGAATTCCCTCCCCAATTTAAACACTAAATAATCCCTAGATGAGTCAATAATCAAAAACCAAAAAGAAAATTCCTCACAAAAATTCCATCCCTCTCTTGAATAAAAAAAGTGCATTTTTAAAGGTAACAGTAGAAAGAAGACATAGAAAAAAGGAGAGAGAATGACCATTATAATTATTGGGACACGCCCAAGTAGGCGCGCAGCCAAGTAGGCGCAAAGCCATAACTACCTGAAAAATTGATGGACCTTAACAATTTTGGTATCATTCTCTTTAGCTCGATGAGAGGAATCGTTTTATACCAAATTTGGTAAGATTCGGAAATTTTGAAGCAAGTTATGGCTTTGCGCCTACTTGGCCGTGCGCCTACTTGGGCCGTACCCATAATTATTCCCTCTCTGACTCTATTTAGCCTCTAACAAAGAGTAAAGCAGACACAAAAATAGGGGGAAAGCTTGATTGATTTTATTTTTTTATTTTCTTTTTTTATAGTCTAGTCCAAAAAGCTTTGTTTGGCTTTTCTAATATATAATTAATTTTTTTATTGTTTTTCTGGCTGAACGCTTTATAAAAAATAGCTTTTTGGGTAGATTTTGTCATTTTTCTCTGTTAGAGATTGAAGAACTATTAATTTAAAGATAAGCTTTATTTTCCTTTTTTTGTTCCTTTTTTCGTGTCTAATTGATTTCCCTACCCCAAATTAATAAATAAAATTGTGTAGAAAATCCGCAAAATAAATCCGCAAATTTAAGAAAAATCCGCATTTTTTAAAATATTTGACATTTCGCCAATTTCAATTTTTAAAAAATTGTTTGAGCCTAAAATATTATTTAAAATGTCTATTTTATTTAAAAAAAATTTTTTTTAGCAAAAAATATTAATTATCCCTGAAAAGAGTCGAACCTGCGACCCTATTTTAGGGCTCTACCCACTTAACCAAAAAAGTTTTTTCGTCAAATTTATTTTTAATTAAAATTTTTAAAGGGAAAATGTATTCAAAAATTTTGTTTAATCAAAAAATATCGAAAACCCCTGAAAGGACTCGAACCCACGACCCCATTTCAGGGCTCTTACCCACTTAACCAAAAAAATTTTTTCTGTCAAATTTATTTCTAATTAATTTTTAAAGGGAAAATGAATTCTAAAATGTTTATTTTATCAAAAAATATCGATAAACCCTGAAAGGACTCGAACCCGCGACCTATTTCAGGGCTCTTACCCACTTAACCAAAAAAATTTTTTCTGTCAAATTTATTTCTAATTAATTTTTTAAAGGGAAAATGAATTCAAATACAACAGAATTTTTTCTTCTTTTTCCATCAACATCAACTACTCCTAATTATATTAATTTGACTTTAAATAATGATACTATTAATTCACAACAAAATATTGACCAAATAAATGTTTCTTCATCTCTACCACTTTCTCATCATTATGCTAGGAGGGACAAAGTTGTATTTTTTGAAATGCATTTTGAAGAACATCAAACACAACTTACTTTTGCATTTTGGTTTTTTATTACTATATTGGCAAAAATAGGTTTCTTTTAATTTTTATAATTTTGCGGACAAAAAAAATTTTTGCGGACAAAACTTGCGGACAAAAAATTTCTTTGCGGATTTATTTTTAATTTCTTAAAATTTGGGGTGTGTGCCATTTTTGTCTTCCCAGTTATTTTTTGTCATTTATTCCAAATTTGCGTTTGTTTTTTATTACTATATTGGCAAAAAAAATTTTTGCGGACAAAACTTGCGGACATATTTGCGCACACCCTTGGAATTAAAAAATTTCAATTTTTAATTTAAAAAATTTAGTTTTTCACCGTTTGGAAAGAATCAAAGGAGTATTACCAGATTCAGCTTTATTGTTGGTATTGGGAAGTGTTTTTGGTGGAATTTTGCATTTTGTATTTCCAGAACAGGCTAGCTTGTTGGAATTGCAGCAAAAAATTTATTTTATTAAAGTATAGGAAATTTATTTGGAGCCCGATTGGTTTTTTCTTTATCTTTTGCCGCCGATTGCTTTGGAAGCTGGATATTTTATGCCTAACAAGGAGGTGAGGAAAGGTTTTTTTAATTTTTTGAATCTTGGGTTTTGCGGACAAAACTTGCGGACATTTTTATTTTTGCGGACAATTTAATTTTTTTGCGGGCAAAAATTTTTTCGCGGACAATTTTTCATTTAAAAAGTTTGTCCGCAAATTTTAGCTGCAAAAAAATTTGTCCGCAAAAATAAATATGTCCGCAATTTTTGTCCGCAAAACCTCCAAAAAATTTTCTTTTTCCAGTTTTTCCGTAATATCGGGACAATAACAACCTACGCAGTTGTAGGCACTTTATGGAACACAGCAGCAACGGGCCTAACCCTCTACTCATTCAAAAATTATTTTCATGGCCACCCATCACCAATAGATTTATTTTTGTTTGCAACTTTAATAAGTGCTGTTGACCCTGTAGCGGTAATTTGTGTATTTGAGGAAATTCATGTTAACCAACTTCTCTATATTTGTGTGTTTGGAGAGAGTCTGCTTAATGATGCTGTTACTATTGTAAAAAATTTTTAAAAATTAAAAAAAAATTTTGCGGATTGTCCGCAAAAATTTGCGGACAAATTTTTTGTCCGCAAAAATTTTTGCGGACAAAATATTTTTTTTATTTATTTAAAGGTTCTTTATCACACTTTACACGCTATGGCTGCTGCCGGAGTAGACGCAATTTTTTGGACAGATTATTTACTCGCCATAATCGCCTTCTTTTGGGTTTCTGTTGGAGGTATTTTGGTCGGTGCGTTGTGGGCTGTTTTAACTGGAATTGTTACAAAGTATTTAATTAATTTAATTAAAATTTTTTAGGGAAGGGAATATTCTAATATTTTTGGAGAATACTCTTCCAAGTAATATAAAAATCCAGAAAAGTGTTTTCCGGAATGAATTTTGAGGTTCATTTTGGCGCCTAGACGTTTTGGCGCGCGACTCAAAGTTGGCACTTAGGCTTAACCTAAATTTATGAAAATTTTCTAAAAAATTTTTAAGGTCATTGGCTACCTTCACTAAAAATTTCAGAATTTTTTATCAAATAATTTTCAAGTTATAGTCGATAAACTTCAAAAAATAAGTCATTTTTGGAGAAGCAACATTCATTTTTGGTCATAAATTCTGAAATTCTGGCCCAAAAATTCTGAAATTTTTGGAGAACATAGATAAACATATGAGGGTTACAAAAATTCTTTTTTTTTTATTTTTTAGATTTGGTGCAGGCGTTTCTGTTGTCCAACCATTAACATGCCTACTTTTCCCTTATTTGGCTTATTTAATAGCAGAATCTTTTGGGTTATCAGGAATTTTGGCAATTGTTGTTTGTGGAATGGGAATGAAGCAATATATTGTTGGAAATATTTCTGAACAGTCTTTGGTTACCGTTAATTATTTTATGAAGACACTTTCTTCGAGGTTAAAAAAATTTTTTTTTAATTTTTTATTGTTGGCTCTGGGATAGGGCATGCTCCCTATGGGAGCGGATGAATTTTCTGATTTATTTTATTTTTGGGTTCTGGGAACAGTTGTCCTATGTGAGGGTATGCGTCCCTCATTTTATTTTATCAAAATTATTTTTTTGGGTCTGGGATTGGACATGCTCTCCATCTAATTGTTAGAGGTTTTTTGGAACTCAAGTCCTAAATCAAAATTTAAAATTATTTTTGCTTAGGGATAGTACGCTCTTGTGAATGTATGGGACCCATTAAGGAATCTGTCTGATTTTATGTGGGATGCCTACAAGTTTCTGGTCGTATACGCTCCTCTTTAACGCCTGTCCTTTACAAGGGCGTAGTTAGGAGGTCGATTTCAGGGGGCTAAAATGGGTGTGCGCCAAAATCTAGGCGTCCAGAACGCAAATTTTTTGTACATATATTTTTATTTTTTCAGCGCTGCAGGCGAAAATTTCGAGAAATTTAGAAGGCCATAAGCCAAAAAATTCACTTATTAGCGCCAATTGATTTTTCTGATCACTTCCCTCCTAAATTTTTTCACTTTCCCCATTTCAGGGGGCTATAGTCCCCGAAGCCCCCCTGGCTACGCCCTTGGTCCTTTATCAAAACCTTATTTAATCAGCTCCTTAATTCCAGTTGTGAAGCAGTTATATTTGTATTTCTTGGCCTTTCCGCTGTTTCAAAAAATCATGACTTGGATTTTGCTTTTATTTTCATTACACTTTTTGCAATTTTTGTTTTTCGATTTATTAGTGTTGGTGTGCTAACATCTTTAGTAAATAAAAAACGTTTACAAAAAATTGGAATTGTTGATCAATTTATTATGGGCTATGGAGGAATTAGAGGGGCTGTTTGTTATGGTTTAGTTATGTCTTTAAATCAGGAATTAATTTGTTGTAAAAATATGTTGGCTTCGACTACTATTATTGTTATTGTTTTTACTGTTTTTGTACAGGTTTTGTTTAATTTGAAATTTAAAATATTTTGGGCGTCAATTTTGCGATATTTTTTTCTGGTTTTTTCCCTTTGTTTTAGGCATATTAAGTCATGTGTACGTATTTATTCAGAAAAATAAAGAAAATCTTGGAAAAAAGTCCACTAAAAATCCGCAAAAAGTGTCCGTAAGGAAAAAATCCGCAAAAATTTAAAAAATCCGCAAAAATTTAAAAAATCCGCAAATAAAAATAATTTATCAAAAAGTCCGAAAAAAGGATCAATACACAAAAATAAATCAGAAATAAAAGAGTCCTCAAAGAAAATTCGCAAAAATAAATTTGTAAAAATTGCACACAATAAAAATCCGCAAATAAAAGCCCGCAAAGAATGACGCTCCCAACCTTTTACAATTTTCTCTTATTTTTCAGGGAGGCTCAATAAAAAAATTAGTAACATATCTCAAAGTTAAACAACACGAGGTTCGTAAAAAGACAGTTTTTGAAATGATTGCAGATAATGTTTGTAGTCATATTGGTGGAGGTGTTGAAAGTATTGCTGGACTACGTGGAAATTATTGGGTTTATTTTGAGAATTTTTGAAAATTTTTTAAAAATTTTTTGAAATTTTTTTGAAAATTTTTTTGAAAATTTTTTAAAAATTTTTTGAAAATTTTTTTCGAATTTTTTTTTTGAAAAATTTTTTTTTGAAATTTTTTTGAAATTTTTTAAAATTTTTTTGAAATTAAAAAAAATTTTTTTTAAGTTTCGAATGACAATTGAACGCTTTAACGACAAATACCTTCGCCCATTTATTACTCTCCAACCGGAAGATAGGGGAATGAAACTCGTCAAATACAACGAAGAAATTCAAGTAACAGAAGCTGTCAGTTATCTTAAAAAACATGGGTCGTTTGCTGGAATGCCAACAGTACAGAGCTGTAGAGATTTACAATTGGCACAGAGTTTGCCTCCAAGGTTTGTTTAAAAATTTTTTTAAATTTTTTTGTTTCCTAACAAGGAAAGGTTGCGAGGTGTCCGACCTAAAAACGGTCGAGACCGGGCTCATTCAATAGAGAATGTGCCCTTTCTAGCAAGGATTTTGTGCAATTTTTGCCTGTTTTTTGATCTGGCTTAAATATGGCCCTCCAAAGTCCCAAAATTTGGCATAATTTTCCCCTCTAAATATAAACTTTAAATAATGTGTTAATTTTGTTGGCGTTGTGGTATCACCTCGCATCCTTTCCTTGTAAGTCTGTCCGCAAGTTTTTCTTAATATCCGCAAGTTTAAACAAATTTTTCGAGAATTATTTAAAAATTATTCCATGAAAAGGCAACTAAAAATGATTTTGGAAAAAGATTTTTGGATTTTTTCCTCCAAGACAGACCTATTATTTTTCTTGTAGCCGGATTTTTTTCGGACTGGATTAATCCGGAAAAATTCGGTCGTAGGGCACTGCTCTAGATAAAACTTTAAAGTGTGACTTGCGGACAAAAAAATCTTGCGGACTTTTCCTTAAAGAAAATTTTTTTTAATTCCAGAATGAGTATATCTCAACGTTACCTTACCACAACAGAACAACCCCTTTTGGGAGGTGTAGTTGTTCCCTCTTCTGTTGCTTTACAAAGACCACGTGAAAATACAATTCCAAGAAATGAATCTGTTAGTGTTTTTGTCCGAGATAAATTTGCGGAAATGAATTCGGTTAGAAAATAAAATTTATTTTGGCGCTGGTCTAGTTTATGCGTCCAATGAACTCTTATGCGTCCAATCAACAAAAAATTGGATTTTTCATGGTGTTGTAAAATTGGGATATGGTTCCAAAACATTTCTTCATGTTCCCAGACCCAGTGGGCGTTTGGTCCCGAACATGAAGAAATGTTTTGGAACCATACCCCAACTTTGCAACACCAAGAAAAATTCAATTTCCTTTTGATTGCGCCTAAAAGTTCATTGGACGCATAAATTAGACCAGCGGCTAAAAATTATTTTTTTAGAGTGCTCATCGTTATAGCAGACATTACTTGGATGGCGATTTTAGAAATCTTCAACACAGTTTTAGTTTAGCAGAGGATGTAAGGGTTTATTTTTTATGTTAAATTAATCTATAAAAATTTTTGAACAAATTTTTTAAAAATTTTTTTGAGAAATTTAAAATAAAGATATGACTTGCGGACAAAACTTGCGGACTTTTCATAAGGGAATTTTTTTTAATTTTCTAGAAATTTTCCAAAAAAATTTTTTTCAGAAATATTTTTAAAAAAATTTTTTGAAAATCTTTCAAGAATATTTCTGAAAAAAAAAATTCTGAAAAAAATTCCTAGAAAATTTCATTATGAAGAGTTCGCAAGTTTTGTCCGCAATTCTTTTTCAAAAAATTTTTTTCAGAAATATTCTTAATTAAAAAAGTTTGAAAAAATTGAAAATTCATTTTAAAAAAATTTCTTAAAAATTTATTTTTTTAAAAAAGGGTAATGCTGAAGAAGAAGATGAATATTACTACAAAACATATCCAAATGGTAAATACAACAAAAAAGATTTGATAATCCAAATGCGTAAAAAATCTGTAAAACTAAGCAACGCTTCCAACAACAATAAAGAGCTTGACACAGTCCCAGAAATGAGTATTAAATTTTTGTCGCCTGAAGAATATGAATAAATTGCTGCAGTGCAGTTAAATTATAGTAACATTCCAAGGTTTTTTATTTAATTTTAAATTATTTTTTTTTGGCACAACAAGTGTTTGTTTAAGTAATTTTTTAAGTCTATGGGTGAAATTAACGCATCCGGAAATTTTCGGTTAGGAAGTCGGTCCCGGAGATTTTCCAGTAATCTCCCCCATCCCATTTAAAATTGTCCTAATTTTTGCTTTTTAAAATCAAAAACGAATTAAATTTTAGGAGTAGATAAAAGAGAAAACCAAACACTTGGAGCTTCATTAATTAAATATTTTTTGAATACTTGTTGACTAATCTTATATTTAACTCTCCATAATCCTTTCATAAGAAAAGCTTTTTTTATCAAGAAAAAAAATTTTTTTTTGATTTTTTAAATTAAAAACTTGTTTTAAGAATTAATTTATAAATACCCATTTTTTGTTGTAAAAATGTTTTTACTAAAAATTAATATTCATAATCTGAACAAAATGCTTTAAATATTAATGTATTTTTTAAAATTGTTTGTTTGATAAAAATATGAAGAATATATACAATACCCCCCCCCCCCCAAGACAAAACTACAAATTGTAAAAAGCTAATTTTAAAACCTTTCACAATTTGTAAACATGTTTTAATTATTTTTTACAATTTGTAGAAAGTTGAACTTTAAAAACTACAAATTGTAAAAAGCTAGAGGTTTGATTAAACTTTTTACAATTTGTAGAAGATTTTAATTATTTCTTACAAATTGTAAAATGTTTTAAGTGTAATATTTTACAATTTGTATTTTTTAAAATAAACTTTTTACAATTTGTAATTCTTCAAATAAACTTTTTACAAATTGTAAAAAATTAATTTTAAAACTTTACAATTTGTAAAAAGTTGTAAATTGTTTTTTACAATTTGTAGAAAATTGAACTTTAAAACCCCACAAATTGTAAACTGTTTAACTAGGAACATTTTACAATTTGTAAAAAATAATTAAAACCTTTTACAAATTGTAAAAAGTTTTAAAATTAACTTTTTACAATTTGTACTTTGGTTCAAATTTAACATCTTTTTACAATTTGTAAAAAGTTGGAAAATAATTAAAATAAAATTTCCAGTAAAAATAAATTACAATTTATACAACCTAACAATACACAATATAATTACAACAATTAAAATTAATTAGTAAATATAATTATTTATACCCTAACCATCTTATTATTATTAGCTTTTTTAGATATTGCCTTTTCTTTTTTCTTTTTTGGCCTAGCTGATGGTTGTGTTTCTTGAGGAAATTTAACCATTATTGGGGGGTTTTTATTGAATGCAGCTTTCATAAAAGCATCCCAAGCATTTTCAACCCATAAAGGAAATTTATAACGAATATATTTCTGAAAAAAATTTTTTTTTTGGAAAAAATTGTTAAAAAAGATGGATATGTTGAAGAGAGGGAGAGGCCTTGTGGTCTAACAAAATTTTGTTGTCCCCATTAAAGCTGGGGGAAGGAGTCTTTTCTCCCCTATGAGAGGGGGAAGGGTTTTGGAGGCGCAGGATCTCAAACATAAAAGCTCTATCAGGAATCGAAGATTATTCGAAATACCGATCTTGAGATTTCTGTATGAGCCTCCCAGTCAGGTTTTTAATTTTGAAAGGACGAAAAATTTTTTTCGAAAAATTTTCATGGAGAGATAGGGGGGGAGGTCCCATAGTAATTGACACACCAAAAAATATATTTTAAAAATTTTCTTACAATTGCTTCAGCAAAAAGTGATTGTAACAATACTTGCCCAATAATTAACATTGGTAAATGAACTGTCAAATATAAACTTCTTGATGCTGTTAAATCCCCAAATCCAATAAGAGCAGCAGATTGGAAAACAAAATATACCGCTACCATATATGTCCAACGGCCTCCACATTCTTCTTTGCTTTCGAGGTACTAAAATTGAAAGAAAATTTAAATTTTGGGCAATTTGAAAAGTTGGGCAGGGGATCATTAAGTCCCGCCGGTTGCGTCCCGGAGCCATATTTTGGGTCTTAACTTTTTAGGGTTTCATCCAACGCGAATAAATTTTTTTACATTCGAAAGCCCTGGATGTGTGGCTTATTTTCACAAACTGGATTGATTTGATCAGATCATCCTACAAAAAGTTATATCTAAATAAATGCGCGCAATCGTGATTTTTGACAGTTATTAGGCTATAACCTTTTGTATGTTGATCTGATCAGATCAATCCTGTTAGATGAAATAATCCTTACATCAAGGGCTTTTGATTGATATATTAATTATCTAAATCCATTAGGGAACGAAAAAGTTATGGGGCAAAATAAGGCTGCAGGACTCAACCAGAGGGACTCAATGACTCTGTTCCGGCATTTTTTTAAATTTTTAAAAAAATACCATAGTAATAGCTCCTTGAATAAACAAATAGGACACGGCAATAAAAACTGTAACCAAAAATTTTTTCCATCTTGCAATTTTAATTTGGTGTCGTTTCTTATTAAAAATTAGTCCATAGAGCCAAACAAAGATTAACTGATCAATTCTATCTTGAATATCTGCAGTAAATGCAAAATATAAGGGAATGCCAAGCATCGCATAGAAGATTGTAGCTATTCTGCCGGCTGAGGTTTCTGGGGCCTTAGAAGAAGAATTGACATTTTGAAATTTTTGACGTTTTGAAATTTTGACGTTTTGAGAAATGGACGTTTCGAGAATTTTGGAATTTTTTTCCAAAACGTCAAAAAATTCATTCAAAAACCCTCCCAAAAAATAATAACCTGAACACCATAACCAACAGTTGTAAAAACACTTATTGAATAAGGTATCCCATCTCTAACAACATCAGCAAATGGTTCATAACTAAAAAGTGAAAAATAATTTTCCTTTAATTTTAATAAATAAAATAAATACCTGGACCCACAACCTGTTTGGTTAGTTTGGTTGTTTGGTTTGTAAGGCGATTGTACTGCACTATGTTTGCTTTCAATTCTCTAAAAAAGGTTTTTTTTTAATTTGGGAGTTGGCATAGGAATTGGGTCAGGCGCACTTTTTTGATTGAAGGAACCTTTATGGGATTGAGTCAAGGTAAACTAATCCCGAAAGAAGCGTATTACGCTACCTATTACTCTATGGAACGAACTGGGACGAGTCGCGATTTTCCTTTATTTCAGGTTTCCTTGATCTGGCAAATGTCCAAGTTTAAGGACGGGTTCAGGGCCCATGAGGAATTGAGTGAAGTAAACCAAATCTTGACGTAGTCCTATTAATCTGGAGATGGACCCCCGAGAGGAGCCCCCCAGATGGAGCCCAAGCCCTATTTTCCAGAACCCAGGTCAAGGTCCTGGAGACGGTCCGGGTCCTGGAGACTTTAGATCCCAAGTACCCATGACCTAGAGACTCCAGGTCCGACTCCCAAATCCAGACTCTTTTTTTTAAACAATCGCTCTCTATTACTCTAAGGAATCTGAATGACCTCCCACTTAATAATTTAAGCATTAAATGAAATATTCAAAAAAAAACCGTAAACATCCAAGCACCAAGGAAAGCATAAGCATAAAGAAAAGGCAAATAAATAAAAGGACACATAATAGATAATGTTCGTTCCCCCATCAACATTCGACTCGTAACCGATCCAACATCGAATTGGTCGCTGTCTATTCGTCGTGCCTTTTTAGGGTTTACAATGTTTGTATTCATTTTTGTTAAGAATTAGCTTTTAAAAAAGGAAAAATTTGAATAAAATTTTTTAATAGAAGTATCCCCAAAAAATCGTCAAAAAATACCCTTATTTAGCTGAAGAAACCCAAAATGCCGATGAGACAACGGAGAAAGGAGAAAAAAAACAAAAGAGACCAAATTCCGACGACCACTGAGAAAATCCTTTTATCTCTTTTTAAATATGAGAGAATTTTTCATTTTTGGACGAACTGTCCATTTATCAACAGTTTGGCAAAATGATTTTTTTAAAAATTTTAAAAAGTAGAATAGGTCACTTCGTCGCCACAATTTTAGTGTCCTTCAAAGAGGACGTTTAAGCGCAGTTTTTGAGTGCCCATTATTTCTTAGACGATTAGAGAAAGAGAAAATAGCGTTTCACCATATTTTGCCAACAAGGCTAAAAATACACGTTTTGTCAACAAGGCTAAAAATACACGTTTTGTCAACTAGGCTAAAAATCCACGTTTTGTCAACAAGGGTAAAAATCGACATTTTGCCAATAAACTGCAAACTTTATTAGCAAAATATGGAGGGATCTGGAAATATTTAATAAAATTTATTTAAGAATATTTATTGAAAATCAAAAACAATTCTTAAAAAATCAAATTTATCAAAAAATGTATCAACTCTATTTTCGTTCAGGAATTGCACATTTAACAGCACATTCTCTTTTAAAATTAGAGTAATCCCCAACAGGCCCTCCATTACACTTTTCAGCACATTTTTGGTCCAAAATGGGGGCTACTCGAACTGTTGCGGGTAATTCTCCATGGCATTCAATATAACATTCTCGTCCTCTTTTTGATGGGGATGGACGGCATTGCATTTTACATTCTGGCTGCGGCTTGTTTGGAGTTGAAGAAGAATTTTTGGTGTCTGTCTAGAATTTTTTTTTGGAATTTTTTTGAATTTTAAATAATTTTGGGAAGCTGAAGGGGAGGGGAAATTGAAAGGAAATGATTGGAGGAGTGAATGGGGAAGAGAGATATCCTCCAATCTCTGGAAGTAGAACACTTCCTCCCTCCTCCCCATCAGAGGTGGGTCGGGACAGCCAGAGGTGTCGGAATTCGGAAGAGCCGGAAATCGGAACAGGCTCAAAAGTCGGAACTCGGAAATCAATTTTTTTCGGAAATCGGAAAGGAAAAAACGTCGGAAATCGGATTCCGACCCGCCTCCTCCCAATCCTCATAATTTTAAGGTAAGCTCTCACCACTGTATTATTAACAGGTTGTACTTGAACTGATTCACGCCTAACAATGGTTGAATTTGAAAAGTTTAATACCTCGAAGGCAACAATTAAAAATAAAGGAAATAAAAGGAGCTTCATTTTATTGATTAGACCTCAAGAAAAAAATTTTTTTCGAAATTTTTTAAGCAAAAAATTATTTATAATTTTTACTCCAAATAGAGCAAGAAAAATTTTATAAAATAATTTATATAAGTATTCTTTACTTGAAATTTTATGCAAAAATGAGTCCCACCCTTTTACACCTAAGTAAACGTTCTTAAACTTTTTTAAAATAAAAATGATTTATATTAATGTAATTAATTAATTTTTGTAAGGAAACGGAAGGGAAATACTCCTTTTTTACAACATTTTTAAGTCGAGAAAGAAGTGGAAAACCAAAAGCCAAAAATATTGGAAGGGAGAGAAGGCTCTGAAATATGGGCACCAAAACGTATGTCTCTAACTTATGCACTGAAATATGGGCACTGAAACGTCCCGTTGTTAATTCTTTTATTCTCGTCACATTTTGCCAATTCATATTTTGCCAATGAGGATTAAATTACTCGTTTTGTCAACAAACATATTGGCAAAACGTGGATTTTACCCTTATTGGCAAAATGTGGCGGCTTCCATTTCTTTTCATTTTAGTTTCTTTTCATTTCCGTCTCTCTTCTTTTTGCGCACTATTTCTTTTTAATTCGGCTTTGGAAAATACCGATTTCGAAATTTATTATACTTCTTTAGGTGTGTTGGGATTTAAGTTAATTGTTTTTAGAATACTAATTAGAAGCCGTTATAGAAAAGCTTTATAGAAAAATGTCGAGGGATTCTTCTGTTTTTCTATAAATTTTGAAGTTTGAAAAAGATAAAAAGAAAGGGGGAAATAGTGTGTTAAATTTAAACAGGCGCTGATTTTGTTTTTATAAAATTAAAGCGACATCATTTTTTTATTTTTAATTGTTTTTATTTTAAATTTTTTTAAATATTTTTTAAGAGATTTTGGAAATAATTTGACAAAATTTATTTATTCTTTTTATTTTGGTTATTTATTAATTAATTTAAAAATTGAAGAAAAATGGCTGAACAAAGACAGGTTTATTTTGTGTTTAAATTTAAATTAATTTTTTTTAATTTGAGGATACTCTAAACAAAAGAAAAGTGTTTACTAGAAGCGATGCTGTTGTTGGGGATGATGAGAATAAGGAGGTGTCTATAAAGCAGGCTGAGTCTCCAAAGAAGCAGTTAACGAGAGGTTGAATTTGTTTGGTTTTATAAGGGTTTTAGTGGGTTTTTAACTGCTAGCTGTAAGAAAAGTCTAAATTGCCTTTTCTTTGTTATTTTTTAAACAAGGGAAAGCAATGATGAAAAAAGGTTCTTTGTTAGGTTTTGGACTGTGGACATATACTTATGTTTTTTGGGTACCTTTGTCCCCCCTAATGATTTTGGAATTCCAAATTTCTGGTCTAGGATACTAAGTTTTACTGAGAAATTGGAAGATTTACTAAAGCCATTAGGTACATGCCACGTTTCTAGAAGAAGTTTAAGGATTAAATGTTTAATGATATCTTGGAGCATCTGGGTTATTTGATGGCGTTAAGCTTCTCAGGCTAATTTAATTTAATTATTATTGAGTTTTGGATACTTTTTTGCTGCTACAGAAACTTAAAACTGATTTCTTTAAGTTAAACTTCTTTTTGAATTTTTAAATAAAAATTTTCCTTTCAAGATCTTTCATATGCCGATTCTATGGGTATTGATGTTTTGCGTTTTGTGGAGAACACACTTCATAAAAATGCTAAAGATCGAGAATTTTTGCTTTTTATTGAAGAGGAGACGAGGAAATTTGTTGAGGATGAAAGGTTTATTTTATCTTTTAAATTTATTTTTTTAAATTTTGGTGGACATTTGGTCCCAATTTTTCGATTTTCAGTTAAAAATTTGTTTAAACTAATTTTTATTATTTTTAATATTTTCTAGCAAATCCTATCATTGGTTTCCTCCAACATCTTCCTACAATCGAATGGTTTTTTTATTTTTAAAATTTTAAATAATTTTTTTATAAAAAGTTGATTCATCGTGTTGCGGCTTTCTTTGGGCTTATTCACAATGTGGATCAAAGTGGACAACAAGTGGTGATTACTAAACAGAAGGGGCATACACGAATGTTTGTTTTACTTTTTTTAGGGGATTTTTTAAAGGAAATCCGAAAAAATCCAAAAATGGACATTTGGTCCCAAAAAATATTTTTCTTTCTCAAATTGGTTTTTTAAATATAATTTTTGTTTTTCTTTAAGTTTCTATTTAAGAAATTAATTTCTTTTTTATTTTATAGTCCTGATATCAAGTTCAGTTCGTTGATTAAACATTCAAACTTTGAAGACAAATTTCATTTTGGACGGCGAAATGTGCAGAGTTTTGATGAGGTTTCTTTTTATTTTAATAGGTTTGAGAAATCCTTATCTTCTCGAATATTTTGGACAAAAATTTTATAATCTTTATCAACATAATTACTAGAGACAGGCAAAATTTTATTGCAGAATCCCTCAAAATATCGCATGGGATCCCGTTTCTAGCCGGTCTTTCCTCAATCATTCCTTTTTTTTGGTCGATTCGTGGAATGCATTTTTTTGATCAGCAATTAGAAACAACACATTTTTCCTTTTTGTTGTAGATTTTTCTTTTTTTGTTCTAAATCTATAGGATTAGAAATTAAATTTCATAGTCATTTACTAGTGTTTCGTTTTAACTTCAGTTACGGGATTTTTTTGGTTCCGGTCCGGCCAAATTTGATACTTACCTATCCTGATACTGGTACTTACCTATCCCCAACTCTTCTATTAATTTTTAAAAAATAAAAAAAAATTTCTCATTTTTTCAAGTCAAACATTTCGACACTTGGAAATCATCGAAACACTACCAATTTTGGCGGACCTCCCCCATCATCATATCGACCATTTCGCTCTCGTTTTTATACTTCTGGAAGTTCACAATTTAACAACAACAACAACAAATCTAGACGTACACGTTCTTTTGAAATTTCTGATTGGACAAATTCTTCAACAACTTTGTTTAATCAACAACAACAACAACAACAATTTACTGCTTGGTTACAACCTTCAAATTTGGAAATTGTAACTGGTGGGGGAGAAGGAATGTCTACTTCAAATTGTAGTAGTAGTGCAAGTAGTGGGGCTGTTATTCATCATCAAATGGCTGTTGGAGGGAATGGAAGTTGTGGGGGAGGAATTCCTTTTCAAATTTATCCGACTGGACAGATTGTGTTGACTAATGAGGTTTTTCTTTTTCTATTTTGGGGAGCTTTATTAGGAAGGGGTGGTGGTCATCCGCCGTAAATGCTCTAATTAAAGCCCGGCTCTATTAGAAGCCCACCCAAGGAGGCTTATTAATAAAAAAAATAAAATAATAAACGCCCATTCCCTAATAGAAGCCCACACTAATATAACCCCATCCCAAAGAGACCCATTGAAAAATAGACGGCCAGTGCTATAATTAGAGCATTTACGGGTCTTTGCTTTTTCGGTTTTGTTCATTTTAAATACCAATTCCTTTGAATTTTGAGAGTTAAGGCCTAGAATTAGAGTTCAATCAGGTCGATATATTCAAAGATTAGTCCAGACCAAAGCTTTTTGAATCTTGGTTTCTAGCTGTGGATGGATTGGGTTGAAAGAAGGGGGGGGGGAGTCCAAAAGTTCGAAATCCAGGTGTCGAGTTTCAGCTACTTGACCCTTCCCTGGTTTCTTTAATACTTTTTTTAGTAGCCTGGTTTCTATTGACCTTGAATAAATTTTGAAAAATTTAAAAAAAAATCTAATTTATTAAGCCGTCATTAATTTCGCCAACTAGTGCTTTTAGTGAACCAATAATCACTAATAATCAACAACAACAACAACAATTACCACCACCAATTCAATCAACAAATGGAATTGTTGAAAAAAGTGAGGAAGGAGGAGAAAAAGATCAGCAACAATTAAATAATTTAAATATTTTAGAACAACATCAACATCAACAACGTTCACAAATTCCTTCACTTTTTTCAATACAGCCATTAATGTCTCCACCTATAATGCCACAAAATACAGCTACAAATATATTGCCTACTCAACAACAATATATTAATCCGTATATTGCTTTGCAATACCAATATCAGGTTTTTTAAATTTTTTATTTTTAAAAAATTTAAAAAATTAAATTTGGGACCAAATGTCATCGAAAAAATTTTTCTCGATTTTTCCAAGAAAAATATTTTTGAGATTGGGATAGCAAGTATTGATTTTTTAAATATATTTCAACTAACTTTGTACGTTTATAAGCAAGTACGGAATTAAAATTGAGTAAAAATATTTATTGGGATCAAATGTCATCAAAAAATTTTTTTGTCGGATTCTTCCCAAAAAAAATTTTTTTATTTAAATTAAAACAAATATTTATATGGGATTCTTAATAAAATAACTTTTTTATAAAATCTTTTAAATTTATTAACAAAAAAATTTTTTATAGCCGATGATGGTCAATAATGCTGCAAATCTAGCCCAATACCAATATTTTACTGATAATGGTTAATTTTTTAAAGTTTTTTTTCGTTAAAAATGTTATTTTTTATAGCTAATATATTGCACTACTACCCAACTTATTATCCAATTTATCAACCTCATCAACAACAAACTTTCATTGATCCGTATCATCCTTTGACTGAGGAAAATGTAAGGGGGGAGAGAGTATTTTTTTTTAATTTTTTGGAATTGAATTCAGATTAGAATTAAAGTTAAAATTAAAACTTTATAATAAAAAAAGTCAAAAAGCCCAAAAAATTTTCTAGTGAATAATTTTATGAAAAAAATTTTTCTGATGACATTTGATCCCAATAATTAATTCTAATTTTTAAATGAATTATTTGAAAAATTTTTGGGAGGAGGGGAGGGGATTGAATAGGTGAGGATTTATAATATAAAAAATTAGAATTAATTATTGGGATCAAATGTCATCAGAAAATTTTTTTGCGATTTTTAACTTTTTTTTGTTATTTTCTGATTTTCATACCTTTAAAGCTTAAGTAAATAAATTTTTAAAAAATTAAATTTGAAGGACAATACAAGACCATCAATAATCGAAAAACAATTTGAATCATTATCAATAAGTCAAGAAGGAACGACGCCTCCAAAATGTAACAACAACAACAGTAATAATAATAAAAATAATAATAATGGTGTTGGGAAGCCTAGTACTTGCTACTAGTTGAAGAGGAAAACTACGGGGAAAATAAATAAAAATAAAGTGGCCAAAAAAATTAATTTAAATTTTAAAAAAAATGAAGAGAAAGAGGGTATGGAGTGGTTGGACACAATATAATTAAGTTAAAAAAAAGGTTTTTTTTAATTTTTTAAATTTTATGTTGATTAAATTTTTCTCGTTTATTCAAAAAAATATGTAAAACATTATGTATTAGGGATGTGCTCTTTTTTTTCCCAGCTTTTTTTCTTCCATAAAAAAAATTTTTTTTTGCTAGCAAGGGAACATACTAAACTGTGAATCACAATTTTGTTTATTTTTTTGGTACCATTCGGTAGAGCATCATCGATTTACTCTAAACAATTTTCTTTGTTTTTTTTTTGACTAGGAATGTGCTATAAAAGCTATGGTGCTTCAAAGTTTGCGATAATTAGGAACGCCAAACCAAAAAACTCGTTCAAAAATTTGAACGAGCTTTTTGGCCGCAGGCAATTCGAGAGGCCCTTAAAAAGCTTATTCTATCCACTCACTAATTTATCAAACAAAAAAATAATAAAAATAATAATAATTAGGAACTCCCCTATAAATGAGTGGAATTTCCCTCCACACAGTTTTGACTCACAGTTTGGTATGTTCCCTTGTAAGACAGAATTTTCCCCAGACTTACATTTTTTTAAAATAAGGAAGGATGCCCATCCCTGATATAAACACACCTATATACCTAAATTTAAAAAGAAGCACATAAAGTTAGCTCGGTGGTTATAAAAAGAGATTTGGAAGGGATAACTTTTCGATTTAGATAGGATTTTAAATTACTAGAAAAAATTTTTGTCTTCCAATCTCTTTTTTGCCTTTTTTCTGCTTACAAAAAAAAACGAATAGACACACATACACATATTTACACGATACTCAATTTTAATTAATGTAAACCTAAAGGAAAAGAGACTGGACAGAGAGGCACCATATTTTATTTTTTAGAGAATCTTCAAGGGGTGACAAAATATCCCAAAAACCTCTAAATTGTTGTAGAGATTTTTAGAAATATTTTTTCGAGTTCAATTGAATTTCAATAATTATTCCCTCAAACCCGGTCTCTAACAAAAATAAACCCATTATTTCTCTCTAATTTAAATATAAAGTACAAGTGTGTAAAAGAATAAATAAATGTTAATTAAATGGAAAATTATTTTTTTTTAATTTTAGGTAAAATAAAATTTATTAAATTTAAAAATTAAAAAAAAAGAAAGGCAAGTAAAATATAAAAATTATATAATTTAAACGGCAGTAAAAAGAAAAATTTAAAAAAATTAAAATTAACAACCCCCCAACCCTTTAACATTATCTGGACATACACAAGTAAAAGCACCAACATAAGCACCTGGCAGACACCAATGTGTACATTTGTGTTCTTTTTGGATACACTCGGAGGGTGCGGTGTTGAAATGACATTTTACTGGAAGACTTAGGATTCCATAAAGTTTGCCTGAGGGAAATTTAAGAGTTTTGTGGGGAATAAAACGAATTGTTGTTTACCCCTTCCTCCAGCACCAGGATAGAATTCTGTATATCCTCTTCCGGTAATGTCGATAGAATGGATTTTTTGACTTGAAAAAAAATTTTTTTTAATTAAAGGGAGGAATGGGTGGAATAAGCTCAGTAAACCCTCTCGAATTGGCTGCGGCCAAAAAGCTCGTCCAGCTTTTTTCGGATAAAAATCGGAAAATACATATTTTTTGTTTGATAAATTAATGAGTGGATAGAATAAGCTTTTTAAAAGCCTCTCGAATTGCCCGCGGCCAAAAAGCTCGTTCAAATTTTTTTCGAATTTTTCGAGTCCCAGCAATAATAAAATTGCCATCTACTTACTCTTTCCAATCTGTCCAATAAAAACGCTCTTCTAAACTGTCAGCAGTCAATCCAAAAGGGTATTCTAATGGAGCATATATCTTTTTAAAAGAAATTTTCTTTTAATTAAAAATTAATTTTATTTATTTACCACTTTCCTATTAGACCCATCCAAAGCACTGCATGAAAGCCTAAAAATTAAATTATTTTTTGATAATTAAAAAATTTCCAACCTTTGATTACCAGCATCTGCCCAACATAACCTTCTACTAGTTTGAAGCATTACTAGTCCATTAGGTAAATGTATTTCATCAGAAATTATAACTAAAATTAAAAAATACAAATCAGAATTTATAGAAACGAGAAAAATTAATTTTTAAGTTCAAGCTTAAGTTTATTTTTACTTTCAAGTTCAATCTTAGGCTTAATTTAATATTTAAGCTTAAGCTTAAATTTGTTTTAATTTTCAAGTTCAATCTTAAGTTTATTTTATTTTTAAGTTCAATCTTAAGTTTATTTAATTTTCAAGTTCAAGCTTAAGTTTATTTAATTTTCAAGTTCAAGCTTAAGTTTATTTAATTTTTAAGTTCAAGCTTAAGTTTATTTAATTTATTTTTTAGGTTCAATCTTAAGTTTAAGCTTAAATATGTTTTAATTTTCAAGTTTAATCTTAAGTTTAGTTTAATTTTTAAGTTTAAGCTTAAATTAAGTAAATAAAAATCAAAATTTAATAAAAACATTTCCCCCTTTACCTTTATTTCCACTTCCATCCAAACCAATTCTTCCAATTTTTGGGGCATCTCTCGACCAATCAGAATAAAAAAGTTGACGACTTTCCATATCAATAACTAATGCCCTTGGATTATTCAACCCTTCTTTTAAAAGTGTTTTTTGAAATTTTCCATTAATAGACAAAACACCCAGTTCGTTTTTGATACTATCAACATAATAAATATTTTGTGAACGCCAATCTATTGCAATACCTTGAAAGGAAAGAGAATTTAAAAATCAGAATTTTTAAAGTCAGAATTTTTAAAATCAGAATTTTAAAAATCAGAATTCCCAAAAATCAGAATTTAATAATAAAAATTTACCTTCCGGCGATTTAAGCAAATCACTAAATTCAGAAGTAATTTCTGTACCATTTAAAAATGCAGAACGAATGGAATGGCCTAAAAAATAAATTTCTGAATAAAATAAAAAAAAGATTAATTACCAGAAATGTCACTCCAATATATCCTTTCTGAAAAATAAAATTTTTTTAATTATTAAAAAATCAGAATTATTGTAAAACAAAGGGGAAAACACATTAAAACACAAACAAAACAGAAATTCTGATTATTAAAAAATACAAACCAGAAATACAGTCATAGTCGATATCTACAACTGTTTGATGTGGCTGTACAATTAACTTTAAAAATAAAAATTTATTTTATAAAATCTTTTAGTTTACCTGTCTTCCTGATTCATCCAAATTAGGAATTGAAGACCTTTGAATAATAGCCATTCCACGCCCAATTAACAATTTATCTGGTGTTTCTTTTGTTTGTAGAATTTTTGCTGTAAATTAATGAATATTAAAAAGAATTCTGATTTAAAATAAAAGAAAATACAAATCAGAATTTTTCAAAAACATTTAATAAAATTTCTGGTCATTAAAAATAAAATACAAACCAGAATTCCAACAAAACACAAATAAAACACACACATTAAAAAATTCTGATTTTTTAAAACATAGAAAACAAATCAGAATTTTAAAAAACACAAAAACCAGAATTTTCTTTTTAAAAAAGAATTCTGATTGTTTAAAACTTAAGAATAAAAATCAGAATTTCTTCAAAACAAATTAATTTAAAAACACATCAGAACAAAATTAAAACAAACCAGAATAAACTAAAAACAAATCAGAATAAAATAAAAACATACGTTCACAAATCTTTCCATCCCCATTAAATCCATAATTACAAACACACAAATAAGAAGCTTTTTGGCCATCAGGTAAACACTGAGCATTAGGGCTACACATTTGTGGACGATCCAAACAATTTTCTGAACAAGGAAAAATTCTTTTTAATTAAAAACACAAATACCTACCTTCTCTACATTCAAAACCATTCCCAGTAAATCCAGGGTTACAAATACAATTCCAAATAAATTCTTCTTTTCCCCCTCCCAAAAGTTGTTTAACACATTGTGAATTAGCCCCGCATTGTTTGCAACGATCAACAGAAGAAGGTGGAGGTTCTGTTGGTTCGAAAAGACACTTTCCGTCTGCTTGTTTTATAAACCCTTGATTTAAAATAAATTTATTATAAATAAATAATTATTTTTTAATCACCATTTTTGCATTGACAAGCAAATTTGCGAAGAGAATGTTCAAAAACACATTCTTGATTGGGGTGTGGGCAAGCCTGAATGTTTGTTGGACTACACTCCTCTGAAAACAATTAAATATTATTCTAAAATACAAAGAAAATACAAAAATCAGAATTTATAAACAAAAATTCTGATTATTTAAAAAACATTACCAGAACTTTCGCATTTGTCAACTCCATCCCCTTGAAAGCCTGGTACACAAAAACAATAGTGTGTATTTGTTTGTTCTGAAAGTAGACAACTTCCAAACACATGACAACTAAAAATCAGAATTTTATTTAAACGAAGAAAATACAAATTCAGAATTTGTTTAAAACAAATCAGAATTTCATCCAAACAAAAGAAAACACAAAAACAAATCAGAATTTCATCCAAACAAAAGAAAACACAAAAACAAATCAGAATTTCATCCAAACAAAAGAAAACACAAAAACAAATCAGAATTTCATCCAAACAAAAGAAAACACAAAAACAAATCAGAATTTCATCCAAACAAAAGAAAACACAAAAACAAATCAGAATTTCATCCAAACAAAAGAAAACACAAAAACAAATCAGAATTTCATCCAAACAAAAGAAAACACAAAAACAAATCAGAATTTCATCCAAACAAAAGAAAACACAAAAACAAATCAGAATTTCATCCAAACAAAAGAAAACACAAAAACAAATCAGAATTTCATCCAAACAAATAAAAACACAAAAAATCAGAATAAAACAAACTCGCTAGAATCTGAACATTGTTTCCGTGTTTTTGGAACAATTCCGGAAGGGTTGTTGTCGTGTGTTTGTAAAACATTTTCTTCCTTCTCTTTTAATGTTTGTTGTTGATTATTAATGTTTGTTGTTATTGTAGTTTGCTTCGTTTCCGGTAAACATTCAAAATTACTTCCTTCACCAACTTTATAATAACCATCAGAACAAAAACAAATATAATGTTCATGTTTTATAGAATATTCGCATTTTGCATTATCCCCGCATTCATCAGAATTGTGACAAATTTCCCCTATAAAAATATTATTTTTTTTTAATTTTTTATATTTTTATTTTCATGCCTCGATTGTGAGTAATGATAACAGGTTGTTGCGGTTGTGGTTGATTTTGTTGTTGTTCGTCTAAAATTCTAATTTAAATCTAAAAATTAATTTTTAAAAATTTTACCTGGAGGTCCACAATGAGTAATTCCATCACCTACATACCACCCTCTACATTTACATTTCCCTGGATATCCAGGAATTAGTCCAAATAAACATTCACCGAAAAAGGAAAAAAAATTTTGATTAAAAAATTATATAAATTTACCCCATCGATGGCATTGATCATGTCCAGTACATTCTCCAAGTTGTAATGAAGCAGGAGAACCCGTGGAAGGCGCGGGAAGAACAATATTCTCCAATTTATCAACTAAAAATAAAAAGGTTCGTTATTAAATTGTTTATTGCGTTTACAAGTTCAAACTTAAATTTATTTATTTTCAAGTTCAATCTTAAGTTTGTTTTATTTTTACATTTAAAGCTGAATATATTAACTTCCAAGTTCAATCTTAAGTTTATTTTTATTTTCAAGTTCAATCTTAAGTTTGTTTTAATTTCTAAGCTTGATCTTAAGTTTATATTTATTTTCAAGTTTAATCTTAAGTTTTTAATTTTTAAGTTTGATCTTAAGTTTGATTTCATTTTCAAGTTCAGGCTTAAGTTTATTTTAATTTCCAAGCCTGATCTTAAGTTTATTTTATTTTTAAGTTCAAACTTAAGTTTATTTTAATTTCTAAGTTTAATGTTAAGTTTATTTTTATTTTCAAGTTCAAGCTTATTTATTCAATTTTTAATTATAGTTAATATAATTTTTAAATGCTTTTAAAAAATTGCACCTAATTTGCAAACCATTCCTTGCTCAACACTATCATCCTCAAATAATCTAAAACCAGGTCTACAATCGCATCTATAACCCGGATTGTATGGTATTTGGACACACAACATATTTGGTAAATTACAAAAATTGCGACCAGAAGTACAAGCATCCTTTAAAAAAATTTTTTTAATTTTTGTTGATTTTTTGAAGAAGAAGAGCAGGAAGATGCTCTCGACCATAAATCACCCGTGGGTACCCTTTTCCAAAAAAAATATTTTTTTTTTTCACCTGTGTTCCACCACTATTATCCGGAACATGTCCCACACTTGTATCAATTATTGGTTCTCTTTCAAACTTTTCTCCTTCATTAAATATACTAGATTGTGAAGCAAATCTAACAACATTTTCAGTTTGGTCATAAATGGCATTTACACGTTCAAATTTGACAGTGAAAGAATCTGGTCCTCTAGGCTCTTTATATGGACATTCTGTGAAGTGGATTTGTTGGTCAACAGTAACTCGAAATTTTTGTTCTTCACTGCCTACACCACGCAAGAGAATATAACGTTCAGAATAGGACCTCAACATTCCTTTAGAAAATAATTTTTTTCCTAATTTATTATTAATTGCCTTGTTTTTCAACTCGATAATTCTCTTCAAATTCAGGAATTGAAATTTGAACTGGTCCAGATATTTCAGGTAAGGTACCACTAAGTAAAACATTAACATGAAATTGGTCATCAAATTGACGATCGGTAAATTCTTGACGAATAACAAGTGAATAACGGTCACCTTTAATTAAAAAATCAGAATTTTAAAAATCAGAATATTGGAAAATCAGAATTTTAAAAATCAGAATTTATAAAAATCAGAGTTTCAAAAAATCAGAATTTTAAAAAATCAAAATTTCAAAAGATCAGAATTATCGAAAATCAGAATTTTTATAAATCAGAATTTAAGAGAATCAGAATTTCAAAAAATCAGAATTTAATTAATTACTAAACCTACCCAAGTGTATATTAACAAGTCTTGTAAAATTTCCCCCAGTCAATTCAAATCCATTTTTGCTTTGAGAAGTTGCCGAAGATTTTGCAAATAACCAACCAAAAGGAGTACTTAAAGAATCAACCAAAAGTAAAGACCACCCAATTTCTGAATTAATTTTAGCTAAAGCAGTGTGTTGTTGTCCGTCAGCCGGTTGAATATAAGCTTTAAAAAGAAATTTTTTTTTATTTAAAAAAAATAAATTTACAAAAAAGTTCAGTTTTCTGTACATTTTTTCCATTTATTGCACCCTGAAAATCACCATTAATACGTATCGCTTCTTGTTGAGGCAAACATTCTGCTCCATTGCCAATATATCCTTGTTCGCATTGACAGCAATAACCGCTATTGAAAAATCAGAATTTTTAGTTTTGCAGAATTTTAGAATTAAAACACAAAAATCAGAATTATTCATAAAACACAGTAAACAAATCGACTTAAGCAACTAAGCGTAAACTTAAAGATTTAAGCTTAAACTTGAAAACCTAAGTTTACGAATTTTTAGAACAGAACTCAAAAATCAGAATTATTTATTCTGATTTTTATTCTGACCGAAAACAATATTCTGACAGAAAACAAATCCACTTAAAATTTTAAGTGTAAACTTAAAAATTCAAGCTTAAACTTGAAAACTTAAGTTGAAGAATTTTTAGTAAAGAACTCAAAAATCAGAATTTAATAGTCATTTTAAAAAATCAGAATTTTCCTTTTAAAATTTTTTATTTATCAATTATTTACCTCCTAAATTGCGAACAATAGGCATGAGCATGGCACTGACTAGAAGATGTTAGTGGAGCACAACTTAAATCAGGAGAACGCTGAATTGATGTCTTTGGTTGTTGATGGATATTTTGTAGAGGTAATTCTTGACCCAAGTCTTTTAATTTTTAAAATTGATTTTCAAAAATTTTATTTTACCATTTGTAAGAGTAGAATAAGGAGATCCAGCCAAGTTTTCAGAGGAGGAAGAAAGTACGCCTTTAAAAAAATTTTTGAGATTAAACTTAAAAACTCAAGTTTGAACGTAAAAACTTGAAAACTTAAGTTTGAACTTAAGAACTTGAAAACTTAAGTTCAAACTCAAAAAATTAAGTATAAACTTGAAAACTTAAAATTAAACTCAAGATCAAACTCAAAATTTAAGAGTGAACTTAAAAACTTAAAATTGAAAAAAAAACTTAAGTTTAACCTTAAAATCCTTTTAGAAATTAGAAAAAAACTCACTAGAACATATACAAAGACTGCAGTGTTGGTCATCCATCACCAATTTACAAGTTGGTGGACATTTATCTCTGTAAGGGTCTGGAGGACATTCCACTGTTAAAATTTAATTTTATTTAAAATAATTTTTTATTCTACCAATTTGGTCATCCGGATCATATTCCTGAGTTTCCTTTAAAAAATATTTTAAAAAATTCAAAATAAGACAATCCTCACTTGTTGATATTCATAATCATCGCCTTCTGGTCTTCTAGGATCTGTTGGTTCAACTCCAGAAATACGATAAATAAAAACTCCGGGTTCATTGAAATTAGTCACTCTACGAAAAAGAAGAAAATTAAAATTAATTTCAAAAATTCCTACTTGGCAACTTCCCCAACAGAAGAACTACTTTGATCAAGTACTTTATCATTCTTCCCATCAACAGAAAAAAATCCAGTCTGAACTACCCTTCCACCTGATTTTGTCCAATTAATTGTGCTATACACAAAAATGGCATAAGTCTCGTTTGAATCGGTAGCTAATGCTAACTAGAAATAATAAATAAATATTTTTAGAAAATTGCCTAATGAAAAGTTAAAAAATGTAAAAATTTTGGAATTTTTAAAAACTTAAAAAAAATTTTTTTGGTCCTTCGTTTTTCAGTTCTCTCAAATTACCCTTATATTTTAAGATTAAACTTAAAAATAAGCCTAACTTAAAACTTAAAAAAGACAACTTAAAGTTTAAACTTAAAAAAGAAATAAGCTCAAGATTAATCTTAACAATTAAAATAAACTTGAAATTAAAAATAATAATAAATTTAAGATTAAACTTGAAAACAAAAATAAACTTGTTTAAACTTAAAAACAAAAAAATAAACTCAAGATTGATCTTAACAATAAAATAAACTTAAAAATAAGCTAGAGATTAAACTTGAGATTTAAACTAAACAATAAATTTACGATTAAACTTAGAATTAAAATAAACTTGAGATCAAACTTGAAAATAAATAAACTTAAGATTAAACTTGGAAACAAAAATAAACTTGTTCAAACAAAATAAACTTAAGATTGAACTTAAAAGTTAAAATAAACTTGAAGTTAAACTTCAAAATAAATAAACTTGATAATAAACTTGAAAATAAATAAACTTGAGATTAAACTTGAAAAAGAATAAAATTTAAGATTAAACTTAGAATTAAAATAAACATAAGTTCAAACTTGCCTGAAACGTATTCGATTCAGATTTCTCATTCAATAATTCGCTCCAAGTAATTAACAAAACAGCAGAAGCTTCAAATTGGTTTGCCCCAAAAGCACGCCTAACTTTTGCTGAAAGTTCTCTACTCAATAAAGTTTCGCTATGCGAAGTTCTTAAAAAATAATTAATTTTTTAAGCAATTTTCCTCATTTTTTTACCGATAAAAAACTTTTCCACCCGTTGAAGGTGCAAACAAAACAGCAATAATATCTTTATGTTGTTCACTTAAGTCTTCCGATTTTGTATCGAAAGGTTCTCCAAAGGAAACAGCTCCATTCGCAGAAATAAAAATTAAATTTTGTTTTCTTTCAAAAAATGTAAAGGGAGGGCCGGGAAGTAATTTTCTTGTAATTGCTGGTTTTTCGATAAATTGAATTAACTATTAAATTAATTAATTAAAATAAATAATATTTTTAATAAGACCTCATCCCCCTCTTCAACACCAAATGGAATGTGAAATGAAGCAAAAGAAAATAAAAATTGTGAGATTAGTAGAACTAATGAAAATAAATTTTTTGTTGTTGAATTAATCATTATTTTATTAAAATTACATAACTTAAACAAGATTAATCTTGGAAATAAAATAAAATTAAATTAAAAAATAAGCCTAAGTTTAAACTTGAAAATAGAAAATAAGATAAACTTGAAAATAATAATAAACCTAAACTTGAAAAGGTAAATAAACTTAAGCATAAACTTGAAAATAAAAATAAACTTGAGCTTAAATTAAAAATATTATTAATAAATTTAAGATTAAACTTGAAAGGAAAATAAACTTAAATTAGATATGAAAATAAGAACAAACTTAAGATTAATCTAAAAAAATAAACTTGAAAAAAATAAAAATAAACTTGAGATTAAACTTGGAAATATGTATGTAAATAAACTTATGATTAAACTTAAAAATATTAAGATTAAATTTGAAAAAAAATAAACAAAAGTTACTAAATTTAAATAAACCTATGCAAGAGCAAACTTAAAAATAAACCTAAAAATTGTACATATGCCTCAAAAATACAGCATTGAGCTCAAAAATAAAATTGAAAATTGAGGTTAGATATTGAAAATTTCAAAAATCCTGCCAAATAAAAAGTCAATTATAATATTTATTTTGCTATTTTTGTTGAGGATACTGGCGGTGAGTCCGACAATCGATGGGAGATGGCGCGGACAACAACAATAACAAAAACTATTACTAAACTAGCATTTTACCCATATTTTATTTGCGCCCTCCATTTCTCCCCCCATTAGGTAAGGATGGGAAGGAGGCCATGATGATGGACGTTGGACGACCTTTTTGCATAAACAGGAGGAGAAAAGTGAGAACAACATCACATAAAATTAAATATATGGGGAGACATTCTGGACGATATTTTATTTTTTTCCTTCCTTTTCTTCACATTTCTTCACTTAATTTCTTCATTTTTAACAGAATAAAAGCTGTCTTTTAGCAAAAAAACTTTTTAGAACGTTCCTACTTTATCCACCTGCTAGTATTTACTGCCAGTTGAGACAAGATTAATTTCTTTAAAATAAATTTGTAATTCACATCTGCAGTAAAATAAAATTAAGATTTAAAAAATGATGGTTAAGTTAAGATTAATCTTGAAAAGAAAAATAAACTTGAGATAAACTTTTAAAAAATAAACTTGAGTTTAATCTTGAAAATTAAAATAAACTTTGTTAAAATTAAAAAAGAAAATAAACCTAAGATCAATCTTGAAAATTAAAATAAACCTAATTAAACTTAAAAATAAGAATAAATTTAAGATCAAGCTTGAAAATTAAATAAACCTAAAATTAAAAACAAAAATAAACTTAAGATTAATCTTGAAAATTAAAATAAACTTGAAATTATTTAAATAAACTTAAGAATAAGCTTAAAAATAGATTAAAAAGCTTAAGTTTAATCTTGAAATTTAAAATAAACTTGAGCTAAACTTTAAAAAGAAAATAAACTTAAGTCAAACTTAAAAACAAAAATAAACCTAAAATCAATCTTGAAAATTAAAATACACTTGAAATTAGACTAAATTTAAATAAACTTAAGAATAAACTTAAGAATAAGTCTTTTAGTCAATAAAATAACAATTTAAGTTTATGGCAATCTAGTGTAAAAAGATTGTTTATTGATTTATCCATTTAATATTTGATCTAAAATGGAATGAATTTATTACAACTATAGAAGGCTGGTACTACAAATATATATGTTTTTTAATTAAAAAGAGCTAGAAATTGGAAGAGATGGGTGCACAGCAGACCTGGGCGAAACTCAAAATTTTTTTCTGACGAAACGAAACGAAACAAAATTTTTTAAAAATCGTTTCGTTAACGAAACGAAACGAAACAACCTAAATCTTACGAAACGAAACGAAACAAAACGAAACATTTTAATATTCAAAAAATTTTCAAAACTGCATTTATTTCGCAATTATTCGACCTCAAATACTTTATTAGTCGCCTATGACTTATAAATGATTTAGTTATTGGTTTATTTACAACAATTGTGTCCCATAAGCCAGGCCCCATAAGCCAGGCCCGTCTCCATATCTCCATTTCGAGAGGAAGGCGATATAAGCTAGTGCTTCGCCGGAAGTTCCGGTTCCAGTATTTCCGCAACTCGCAATCCGCAATTTTTAAATTATGATGCGAGTCCGGTAATAGAATTTGTCGTCGATTAAGTAATATGTATATGTGAATTAGGGAGTGGAGTATAAACGGATTTGTAGTATATAAGTAATTGATATCTTCCTTTTTCAGCGCCGCAGGCGAAAATTTTGACAATTTGGGAAAGCAAGAAGCCGAAATTCTTTTTTTTCAGCGCCGCAGGCGAAAATTTTTTAAATTTTCAATAAAAGATGGTAAATTTTATAGATTTTGGCCTTAGTTTAGGCTTAAAAAATTGTTTCGTTTCGTTGAAAAATCACAGGTGTTTCGTAACGAAACGAAACGAAACAAATTTAAAAGTGTTTCGTAACGAAACGAGACGAAACAGTAAAAATCATACGAAACATACGAAACAACGAAACGAAACGAAACGTTTCGCCCACGTCTGGTGCACAGCAGACTAGCGCAGGCAAAAGAGGGTCATAGCGGAATTTAATTTTGGTTAAGTGGCTAAGAGCGCTGACTACAAAATCGTCTAAAAAGGGGTCTCGGGTTCGAACCTTTTCATGGTTAATTAATATTTTCTAATTAAATATATAAAATAAAACATGAAATAAACATTTTAAATAATATTTTAAGTGTGTAAAATTTTTTTAAACGTTTAAAAATAAAAACAGGTAAAATTTTAAAAAATCGGCTATTATTTTTCAATGTAATTTTTTCAAATTTGGATTGATTTGGACAAATGAGGTGTCATTCGAAAGAGCTCTAAAAAATGAGTCGAACTAGATGTGAAAGAAGTTGATCCGACATTCCGGAACCGAGTTACAGTCTCCCGAAAGTTTAAAACCACAGGAGGGCCCTAGCCGATTTTGGGGACAAAAATTCAAATATACAAATTATAGCTCATTCGAAAGAGCTCGTCGAGCTGAGTCGAATGACACTAATCATGGGGTGCGGAAATGCCTGTGGACCGAGATACAGGTCCCTAAAATTCCGATTTTCGGGGTCAAAAATTCGACTATACAAATTATAGCTCATTCGAAAGAGCTCCTCGAGCTGAGTCGAATGAGACCAAAATCTCCGTGATTAGTTTCCGAATTCACCTCAATATAGCACAAAAGCTGTTATTCCGGCAAAAATACAATTGCCTGTAACCTTTTTCAGAATCTTCGAATCGAGCTGATTTTGGTGACATTCGAATCAGTTCGTCGAGACGAATCGAATAGTATATGTTACGACCAAAACTTTCAAGATTTTTAACGAATTTTTTCATCGGAAATTAATGAAAAATAATTGTGCATAGAAGTCAACGAAATCTGCATTAAAATTGGAAAAATTAACTTTTTTGGAAAGAAGAGATTGTTATCTTTAAAATAAGTCTGACAGAATTAGAATCGGATCTGTAATTTTCGAGATATTGGATTTCAAATCCTATTACCTCGGATTTGTAAAAATTAAACGAAAAGAGTATGGAAAAACAAGAGAAAATTAGAGAAAAAGAGATAAATTTAGCTCTTTTTTAATTGGTTGGCGTTCTGCCCCATTAAATGACATTTCGTTCGCTATGACCCTTGCTAGTCTGCTGTGTGGGTGTTTTTGTTTTTTCCTTTCAATCTATTATATTGCTTTGGATTAAATTTATATTTAATGATTTTTCTTTCCCCTAAAATATATTTTTCATTTTGTAGATGAATCATCAGTAATTGCAGAAATTTGGGCTGAGAAGGATTTTATCCCCGCCCTTTTTTCGTCTGTCCTGAAAATAAAAAAGAATAAAGAAAACAGACCTAAAATGTTTTGAAAATAAACTTGAAAAAATAGACTGAAACTTAAAAACTTGAGAACGAACTTAAATAAATACTTAAGAATAAACTTAAAAATATGTCTCTTAGTCGATAAAATAACAATCTAAGTTTACGGCAATCTAGTTTGCCGTAAAAAAGATTTATTTTATTCTAGTATAAAGAGATTGTTTATTGATTTATCCATTTAATACTTGATCTAAAATGGAATGAATTTATTACACACAAGGCTGGTACTACAAATATATATGTTTTTTAATTAAAAAAGCTAAAAAAATTTGGAAAGGAAGGAAACAGACTTAAAATGTTTTGAGAATAAATTTGAAAAATAACTAGGAAAACCAACTTGAGAAGCAAGAAAAACTTGAAACTTAGAAACTTGAGAACGAACTTAAATTTAAATAAACCCGAAAACAAAATTAAGAATAAACTTGAATTTAATCATAATCAAATCAACAGGAAGCTTAAATCAGTCGTAGAGACACCATACTTCTCAAACTGTTACATGCAGTAAATAAAAAATAAAGAAAAATACCTCCAATAAAACATCATTCAAAACATATTTTTGTTTTCCAAAACATTTAGTTGCTTAAAATTAAACAAACATTAAAATGCTTTCCGTAAAACTTTTTTACAGTTAATTGGGGGGTTTTTTTTTAATAATTCTCGTTGACGTTTGAATCCCGTATAATTTCTGATTTGCTTCGACTTAAATAAAATTTAAATCTAATAAATTTAAAATTTATTGATAAAGTATTTTGAGGAAAATAATTTTTATGACGAAGAGAAAGACTATATTTTAGCAAATAATGATAATAAGCCAGATCCGACTACAAAGAAAATGGATTTAAAAAATTAGACACCGCTTAAAGTAGCGAGTTTGAACGGTTCAATTCTTTAAATATTAAAAATAAATAATAAAACCAAACTTTCTTTATAAATTAAATTTTTTTATTGTTTTGTTAAGAGATTACAAACATGATGTTGAATAAGTTCCTGACTAAACTTATTGTTCGCTAAAAACATATGCAAACTTAAATGAACAAATTGTTAATATTCAGAAAAACATTTCCAACAAAACATCACCCAAAACATGTTTATTTGTGTTTTTTAAAAACATTCGTTGCATAAAAATTTCCGGAAAAGTTGTCCGGAAAAGTTGTTGTCAATTAATTAAATGTTTTTAAAAAGAATTTGCAAATAATGAGAATTCTTATAAATTTTATTTAAAAATTACAAAATTTATTTAAAAATATATTTTATTAATATTTTATTAATTTTAATTTTCAATACTTGCTTCCTAAATCTATTTAAAAAATTATTTAATTGAGTGACTAAACTTATTTATCCTTCGGTAATTTAAAAGTTTATTCAAAGGCTGGAGCGACATCACTACGCCACTTATACAGCTTTATGAACATAGCTACAAGCTTTATAAGTGTATACGAGTTTTCCGGAAAATATTTTAATGTTTGTTTGTCACTAGAAAAACTCAAGTTTTGATAATCCGAACAAACTTGTTTTGGGATATGTTTTGTTGGGGCTGATGTTTTGTTGGGGCTGATGTTTTGTTGGGGATGTTTTTTTTCGTGATATTGAGTTAAACTAAGTTTATTTAGGTTTAAAAAACATGTTTGCAGGTTTATTCAGAAACATGTTTGTAGTTTATTTAAAAATGTCTAAAAACGCGAAAAATAAAAACATTATAAACAAAGTTTAAAAAATTAGTTTATATTATGTACGCGTGTTATGAAAGAAAAAATAAGTATATAATTGAAAGGTTATTTTATTTTTCCATCATTTAACCTGTTAACCTTTCTCCTGAGGTCTACATTTTTTATTCACATTATTTATAATCTTTATTGACCCCAACAACCAAAAAAATCATTTCATCTCTGCTATGCTTATTTTTTAAATTTTATTTGAAAAAATTTTAATTATAGAACCTTTTAATTTTCATGTGTTTAAATTTACCTGAAATTAAATTAATTTTCCTAAGACGATTTATTTTTCAGGCAAAAATTTATTCTATTTTTTAAAATTTTGTTTATCGTGAATGTTTTCAAATTTTCAAAATCTTTAAATTCAACTTTTTCAAAATTTTCCCAAATATTAATAAAAATTAGCGCTTCATATCGAACTTTAAACAATTTTTATTTTATTCGATTTTTCATTTTTGTTCTTGTTATTGAATTAATATCAATTTTCCAGAGTGTTTAATTACATATTGTTTTCATATCAAATTCTTATTAAATTCTTACCTTCTTATAATGACTCAAGTTCAAGATGAACAACTTAAGACAGTGAGTTTGTCTCAATTAAAAACGATGTTTTTAAAACTTGTGAATAGACAAGAAAAACAAACTTTACACAAAACAAGTTTATTTATTTTCCCAAAAACTTGAAAACATAAAAACACATTTTTAAATCATGTTTTCCGTAAAACACATTTTTATTAAAGATATATACAAAAACATGTTTTGTAAACAAACAAAACATCAAAACATGTGTGAAATTTTTGTTTTAGTAAAATATCTAGTATATGTTTGAATGTTTGTTTGAATGTTTGTTTTAATGTTTGATTAAGTTTCTTTGATTAAATGTTTGTTTGAGGATTTTGCATGTACTCGATGTTTTCCGAAATGTTTTGTTTAGATATAAAACATTTCTTAAAACTAAAAACATTTTTACAACATAGAGTATAGTTTTAAGTTACTGAATAATGAAATGTTTTTTGGCAATTTTTATTGTTTTGTTTTTAATGTTTGATTGAATGTTTTAAGTAACTATTGGATGCTTTGTTCTTTTATAAACAATGAAGGGGAGTGGGGATTGTTTCACAATATGTATGGATTGTTCTTTTTTTGCCATCCATTTTTCTGAGAATAAATGAAAAATATAACAGAATTAGAACAAAAATTACCAAAAGAATTAATTTCAGAATTAATCCAATTTATCCCTTTTAATATAAAATGGATTAAAATTAGAATATCCAAATTATTTGATATTTTCATTATTAAATATCACCGAAAATGGATACTTCATTTAATTTTAGTAAGTTGTGAAGATTTGTTTGTGATTTGTAATTTGTTTGTAAATGTTTTTGTGACCATGACAAACATTTTAAAGAAAATGTTTTGTTTGTTTTGTTTATTTAAATGTTTTGTTCGTTCTTGTTTAATGTTTATATGTTCGGTGTTTGTTTATTTGTTCATTTAAATGTTTTGTTTAGAAGAATATGTTTTGTTTGTTTGTTTGTTTGTTTGTTCGTTTAAATGTTCGTTCGTTTGTTTGTTTGCTTGTTTGTTCGTTTAAATGTTCGTTTGTTTGTTTGTTTGTTATCTTGAAATGTTTTTGTTTGTAGCAAAAGTTTTTTGTTTATTAAATAGAAATGTGTTTTCCGGAAAACATGTTTTTAAACAATTTAAAAGTTTTCCGGAAAAACATAAATAAACTTGTTTTTGTTGGAAATTTTTTGTTTTTCCTCCTTGTTTTCCACATGTTTATTTTCTGAAGAACATTAAGAATAATCATGATTAATTAACTTAATAATTGAGTCAAACGTAAAAAAATTTTTTAATCGAAAATTTTCTTTAATAAATATGGAAACATTTTTGATTTTAATAAAAATTTTAGTTGAAAAAGGAAGTTGACGAATTGTTTGACGAGGTTATATCTCCGCTTGAAGCTTTCGATGTTCCTAAGGGAAGTTGGGGCAAGAATAAGATGATTAATAATGGTGGTCAATTTCATGGTAATTTTTTTGTATTTTAACTTATAAAAATTTTAACAAAAAAATAAGCCTTGTTTAATGAAAATTTTAAAAATATTTTTCCAAAATTTTTAATTTTCGTAATAATATTTTTAAGGAATTTTCGAACAGCTACGTAAATTTGCTAAGACAATGCCAACTTATGCTGCTGAGATTAACGATGTAAGTCGTAAATGAAGAATGTTTTAAGTGATATTTTTTTATTTTCTAGGAATTTGAAAAATTTACTTGGCCAGCAATTGACAATATGAAGGCCAAAGCAGAAACTGTTTGTAGACATTTGAATAAATCTGAAAAAATTTTATTCAAATTTTAGATGGAGACAAATTTGATGGCTAAGAAGAAGTTGCTTCTTGATATGTTAGAGTTTTTGCAAATAAAGGCTAGGGCTTTAAAGAATGAGAAGGAACTTAGTGATTTGAAGGCAGTCTTAAATGGTTAGGAAAAGATTTTTATTAAAATTCATTTTTAAAAATTTTTAGTTCTCCCTGGTATTGTTGACAACAGTACTAAATAGTCTGGTGATGATGTTTTGGAGAAAAGAACTTTGTTTTTGTTGGCTATCAAAGATTCTTTTTTATTTGGAAATGTTTTTGTTGGAAAATTAAATGTTGTTTTGATTGGGGTTGCTTGAAGTTTTCACTTTATTTATTTGACATTTTTAAAACTTTCTTCTCGTTTTTTCTTTTCTGACATTCTAAAAATTCCTTAATAAATCTAAAAACATAAAAAACAAAGTGAAAATTTGCAAGCAAAAAACCCAATTTTTTGACAAAATCACTCAACTTTTATCTTATAAAATTTGTTGAGTTAAGTCGTATAAATTAATTTTGGTCCAAAATTTGGATTGTTTATTTTTATCAAATAGTAAATTGGGGTTTTAAAAATGCAAAAAACTGAATTCAGAAGCAAGAAAAACATGAAACCTAGGAACTTGAGAATGAACTTAAGTTTAAATAAACTTGAAAAAAAATTTGAAAATAAACTTTGTTTTATGTTCGATTTATGTTTGTTTAAATTTGTTCTATGTTTTTTATTTGTTGTTTGCTTTGTTTGTTTTGTTTGTTGTTTTATTTGTTTTCCAAACAAAACAAATTAAACTTGTTTTGAGTGCAAACTTAAAAACAAAGTTTATTTATTATAAACTTAAGAATAAGCTTGCTTAAGCTAAACTTAAGAACAAACTTGAAAATAAACCTTGTTTTAAGTTTATGTTTAAGTTTGTTTGTTTTTTGTTTGTTTGTTTGTTTGTTTTGTTTATTCCAAACAAAACAAATTAAACTTGTTTTGAGTTCAAACTTAAAAACAAAGTTTATTTATTATAAACTTAAGAATAAGTTTGCTTAAGCTAAACTTAAGAACAAACTTGAAAATAAACCTTGTTTTAAGTTTATGTTTAAGTTTGTTTTTTGTTTGTTTGTTTGTTTTGTTTATTCCAAACAAAACAAATTAAACTTGTTTTGAGTTCAAACTTAAAAACAAAGTTTATTTATTATAAACTTAAGAATAAGCTTGCTTAAGCTAAACTTAAGAACAACAAACTTAAATTAGACAATGTTTAAGATTAAGCTTAAAATTTTGATTTTGTATTAATTACACATATTTATTTATTCATTAATAATTTATTTTTAATTCATATATTTGTTTTGGTCTTCCTTAAAATTAAATCCAAACATTTCATAATAATATTTAATCATAATCAGGTCAGCAGGAAGTTGAAAATCATTTGTGGAGACACAGACAAAACTTCCTCTCTACATAATTGTTACAGGCGGCAAATAGTACACACATTTTATAATTTCTCTCAATATGAGAAGAAAAGAATATTTAGGCGGGATAAACAAATGGATTTAACGGAAAGTTGGAGGAATTGGAATGAATTTATCAAAAGAATTATTTTTAAAAATTTTCCAATCAAATTTATATGTATTCTAGTTTTGAATTAAGTTGAAGAATTCTCTAATTAAAATAATTTTTTAGCTTGTTTCAAAATATGGCTCTTTAAAATAATTTGAACTAAGAAAATGGCTACTCCATCAGTGACACCCAAACCTGAACGTCGAAACAGGATAATAAGGGTAATTGTCTTATGAACATTAAAAGGGAAAATAATACTTAAAAACTCAACATTTTTAAGGGAAAACAAACTAAGAAAAACAAACTTGTTTTACAAACTTAAAAATAAAATACGAGTTGTAAACTTAATTACAAACAGGTAGAAACATAAGTTTCAACTTGTGTTTCCAACTTGTTTTTAGAAAAAACTAACTTTATAGAAAACCAACTTGTTTTGCATACTTGAAAATAAAAATTTTTAAAAACATTTTAAGTTTAAGTGTAAGTTCAACTTAAGTTCACAAACTTAAATAAAACTTAAAAACCCAACTTGTTTTACAAACTTAAAAACTTGTTTTAAGTTGTCAACTTGAACATAAAATAAGTTTAGAAACTTAAGTTTCAACCTAAGTTTATCTTAAGATATCTTAAGTCTACAAACTTAAGTTTTTTATATTTATGTCAAAATTAAAGCAAAGTGTTTATCATGACGAACATTTAAACCAACCTAAATTACAACAAACAAAACAACAGCAACAACAACAACAATCTCCACATAAACCAGACTCAATAGAAAAACATACAATAATATCCCAACTAGCTTTGTCAAATAACCAACAACAGCAAAATCCAAACATAAATTATATTAACACAACACAATCAGCTACTTATCACCAAATTTGTTTACCTTCAGATTCAATTATTGGAAATAATAATTATGAGTTTGGAGGAGAAGGAGGGGGTTGGGAAGGAACACAACAACCTAATTTGAATGAAACGTTTATTGAAAACAAAGGAAATACAACCAAAAGTTGGAGGATTTCTAAAGAATAATTTATTCAATTTTAAGGATTTCCATTAATCTATCGTGTCCAAATGCTCAAAGGTTTTGAAGTTCTCTGTAAACGTTTACTTTTCCATCTTGTTAAAGCTAGCGCTGGTTCTCCAAAATGTTTTATTGTAAATTTAGGAGCAAATAAATTTTATTTAAAAATTAATTTTGAGGCACTCCCTTTTGCTCTGGTTGGCTTAAGCCTCTTGCTTTGCTCGTTCTCTTCGTCTTGGCCATCTTCGTTCTTCCCCTTCTACGATATTTTCCATTTTGGGACTGATCAGCAGGAATGTGTCAAAACATTTTTTATGTCGACAAATTGTCAATATGGACAAAAATCCTTTTTATTCGACACAATACGTGATTACAACAATTTTCCTAGCGAAAACCCTTTATTTGATACACCACAACATTCCCCACATAATGAGTTTACAATATTGCTAACAACAACTAAAACAAATATAAAGTGAAGTTTACAAACATAAGCTACTATAAAAACTAAAATAAACCTAAAATTAAGCTTAAACTTGAAAATAAATTTTAAATAAGTTTAAACTTGAAATTAAACTTGGAATTAATTAATTTAAACTTGAAATAATTGTAAACTTAAGATTAAGCTTGAACTTAAATATATATTAAATAAACTTGAAAATTAAGCTTGAACTTGAAAATAAATATTAAATAAACTTAAATATTAAGCTTGAACTTGAAAATTAAGCTTAAACTTGAAAACAAGTTTGAAAATTAATTAGCTCATAGAAAATATTTTAAGAGGAGGCAGAGGTTCAATATTAACTTCGAATGGGACATTAATTCAGGCATATACCCAACTTTTTAACCAAATTCAAGATTCAACTATTCAGCATCACACACAAGTTTATAAGGTAACAGATAGTTTTGTGGAATTAAAAATGATTAATTCAAAGTGGTGGGATCTTTGTCGACAATGTCATTTAGATCAGGCTCTAGACAACTGGATTAAGGGCAGTTTACCTCAAGAAGGAAATTCGACAGAAATTTCAAATTTTTCCTCAATGGAAGAAAGGACAAGGAAAAACTTTTTGCCAGACATATTTGGAGGTAAATTAAGTTTTTTATAGAAATTATTAAATTAAATCAGATGTTGAATTAAATTCATTCCAACATGTCCATTCTTTAATAATGAGAATTAAGTTGAAACGACATTTAAAGCCATTATTAGTTGACACCTTCGAGAGACACTTACGACGAATTGTGAGCTGTTTCTAAATTAAAATTAAAATTTTTTTAAAGATATCCAATTTTTCACGTCAAAACAGCCTAACATCTTCCCAGGAAGAAGAAAAACCTTTAGGTATCCATTTCTGGTCTGCGCAACAACTTGCTGCTGAAATTGAAAATTCTCTTCGGCAAACACATGTTAAAATATTAATTTGTTGGGTAGCACTATGTGGAATTTTGGCGATAGTTCAAATTCGTTCTAGTACTTACGAAGTAAATTAAAAGGCAAATTTACTTAAAGTTTTAAAATTTAAGAGCAGACCGATGGTGGGTGTGCAACAAGCATTGACTCTTTTATTAGCTTCAGTTTGTGCCTATGCTGTACATTTGGCTAGTTCTGAGAGATTTAATTCTCTCTTGTTTGCGTTACCTTTCACACTTGCAAGCATAGGATCCTTAACTTTTGCTGGTGTTAATAGCGCCTTCGAGCGTTATTCAGGAATTGCAATGCACCCAACAGAGAAAATGGTTTGTAAAATAAGTTTATTTGTTTGGTTAAATTAAAGTTTATTTACTCATGTTTTGTTGTGTTTATTTTTATTTTATGTTCAGGGTTGTTTTATGTCGTGTTTGTGTTCATTTAATTATGTTTTTATTGAAGTTTATTTATGTTGTTGAGTTTATTTTTATGTTTGTTCAGGTTTGTTTTTATGTTGTGTTTACTTATGTTTTATGTTCAAGTTTATTTTTATGTTCGTTATACAATCAAGTTTTTCTCATGTTTTTCTAATATAATGCTTGTTTATTTCATTTTACGCTTGTTTTTATTTGTTTATTCCATTTAATTTCAATGTTATTTTCACATGTTTATTTTAATATTTCATCCGAACATATTTACCAGGCCTTCTTGTTTATATGGGATGGTTGTGCTTTAGTATTACTACCTTTACTCTGGCTCATACTTTTATGCTGTAAGTATTTTTAATTTTTAAAAAATTATTTTTATTTCAAAGTTTTTTGTTCTCTACTCGTTCAAAGCATTTTCCTCCTCCAATCCTTGTTGTCCTTAGCAGCCGGATTTTCTTCTCTCCTTTTGTTCTCCCTAACTTTCCTGCTTGTTTGTTGGTTAGGTACAGCTCGCCGCATGGCTGCTGGTCTAAAATGGTTTCAAATTTGTCGGACTGGGGACCAATCATTCAATGGTGCCCTTAACTATTTTTTAAACAAATTATTTCCTCTTCAAGAAAAACAATTTTTTGATTATGATGCTTATACATGTGCTCGTCTGCACGAAAAATTAGCAGACTTGAGGCCCTGTTTTGGAAGACGTTTTGGCCATTTAGTGTGTGGACAGAATTTTAGAATGCTCTCCTTCGGCCTTTTCTGTATTTTATGTATTGGAGCTATTATTGGAGGAATAACAACAAATAAAAATAATAATTCAATCGTTAAACTTGAAGCTTCACACTTTTTATTACCCAAAAGTCAAAGCCAATTATTCATAGAAAATTTCCATTTATCCTTTCCTAAATATGAGGATTTTATTGGTAAATAAAAATATTTAGAATTAAATTTTAAAAATTTTAGAAATCAATTTTGACGGTCCTATGGACTATGAAGAAAGAAAAGAACACATTTTTGCTCTCCTAAATTGGCCAATAGTAGAGATTTTTTAAATAAAAATATTTAATTTTTATTTTGAAGGAAATTGGGTTGGCAAATAAGGCAGTCAGTTGGTTAATTGAATTTGAAAAGTTCAAGAAAACTGTTGCCTATAGGATCGATGAGGTAAATAAATAAATTAAATTTAAGCATTATTTTAAATTAAACAAGTTTGCTAATTTAAATAATAAAGTTGATTTTAATCAAGTTTATTTTACAAACTTAAAACAAGTTTATTTTTATCTAAGTTTATAAACTTGTTTGTTTAGATTACTTAAACTTACTTAAAATAAACTTTTATTAACTATGTTTGGAAAAAAGTTTGCAAACTTAAATAAAAATAAGTTTGATTAAGTTTGTAAAAAACTTGTTTAAAATAAACTTGCTCAGGTTTTATTTTAAGTAAACAAGTTTGCAAACTTAAGTAAGTTCATGCTTAATTTTATTGTCAACTTAAAACAAGTTTATTTTATTATTATAAGTTTGAAAAATAAACTTGTTTGGAATAAACTTACTCAAGTTTGTAAAACATTGTTTATTTTGAGCAAGTATTTTAAGTTTATGCTTGTTTTTAGTCAAGTTTATTTATCCAAATACCTCTGTATTTTATACCTAATTTAGGAATCGTCAGTTTCTTTACTTACACATGTTTTTCTTCGAGATACGCGTTACAACAAATTCTTGGCCGATTTGCATGTTTCACAAGGGCAGATACACAAGTAATAAATATATTTTAAATTTTATTTCTATTGCCATATTGGAGAAAAAAAGTTATTTTTAGGTCTCGAATGTATCTTAAATTGACTTCTAAAGGACGTCAACAAAGGTTAAAAAATTTTTATTTAAAAAATCAAATTTAAAAAATTTATTTAAGCAAATTTTTGATACGCTCACTCCTGGAAAAGGCAAAAAGAGCAGCATTACCAATTAGCTTACACGTCCCTTTCAGCTTTTCTATTACTCATGATATTCAGGTTTCAACGTACCTATAACTCATAAAAATTGTGCTAAGGTAATACCTAAAATGTTTACTTCAATTTTATGGCTTTGCACTCTTTCTGCTATCCTTTCTGCTTTACAACCCTCCTTGGCTATTTGTTTGTTTGTCTCAAACTTGTTTTTATGTGCTTCTGTTAATACTTGTTTTTATTTGTTTAATATTCCTTTAAATGTTGTTACACTTGGAATTTTGGCTGTTTTTGGTATGTTTGTATTTAATATGTATATTAAGTTTGAGCTTGTTTTTAAAAAAACATATTAATAAACATTAAAACATTTTAATGTTTTTAAGCTCGCAACCTAAAACATGTTTATTTAATGTTAAAACAACAAAACATCCAAATAAATTAATAATGTTTTATAAACATTAAAATAAGTTTGTGAACATAAAAATTCGCACACTTAAACTTTTGTTTGTTGTTCAAATTTAAAACTTGTTTAGCAAAACATGCTGTTTAGCAAAACATGTTTTAAAAACAATTAAACATTTTTACAGGTTTACCCCTAAATTCTGCCTGTATTTTACACTTTTCTCATCACTTTTTCAACTCTGGACCATTACAACAAAACAATTATTTGAGAATTCAATACGCATTTCAATGTTCTCTATGGCCTATATGTTTAGCAACATTTATAGGGCCCTTAACTTTTTGTTTTGAATTAATATTTGGAACATATCCGCCTATTGTTTTCAATGTTTTTCAAATCCTAACAATTTGTTCAACCCTTATATTTATTCAAATCTTTGTTTTTCTGCCGAGTCTGTTGCCAATGTTCTCAGATTTGTTTCACGATATGTTCACTATAGCTTCCCAACTTTGTGATGAAAATGCAAATGCAGAAATGACTGTGGACCCAATGTCAGAAAATGTTTATTTTGTAAGGAGGCAACAGCCGATATGTCCAACAAGTTCGTTTAACAGGTGGCAAGCAGCTATGGGGTGAATTTAAAAATAAATTTCAAAAAAATTTTTTTAATTAAAAAAGTTATCACCAAACATTCAACGTTGGAGGAGCTCCAACAAACTTGTCTATTCCCCCAGCATACAAACCACCTCCAATAGAATATTACCCATTTAAACCTCAACAAAATAATAATTTTGTTCTTCACAGTCGACAAACTAGCAGATTTAGGTTTTTAAGAATTTTCTGATTTGAATCAAAAATTGCCCAATTTTTTAGTCAACAAGATCAAAATATTAATTCTCCACGGATAAATTCAAGTTGTGGGGGAAGGTCAATACACACCGATCCAAAAGAAAGGAGCGCACCTCCTCCACCTATTTACAGCCCTCCAAATATGCGAAAGGATAATATAATGATTAATGGGTGTTGTTGTAGCAAAACAGATAGTGGACATAATAGTTTTAGTGAAGTAAGTTCTAAGAGAGAAAAAATGGGGGAAAGGTTGACTTAAGATTGTAAAACATTTTATATAGGGGAGTGTTTACAATCTTCAGAACATTTCACAAACTTGTAAACTTGAAAATAAACATTCAAGTTTGGCAAAACATTAAGATTGAATGTTTGTGTACAATATTTTAATTTAAACATGTTTTGCAGCATTAAATAAACTTGTTTTTAACAAAAACAAACTTGTTTTTGCTAAAATTAAACTTGTTTTGTGACTCAAAAACAAGTTTGTTTTGCTAAACTTGAAAAACTTGTTTCGAGAAACTTTAAGAGAAACTTAATAAACTTGATTTAAGTTTGTAAAACATTTTTGTTTTCTCCAACTTTTTGAGTTTGTGCTTAATCAAGTTGCAAAACAAGCTTAATTTGATTAAGAACAAGTTTATTTTTTAAAAAGTAAGTTTAATTTTGTTACAAACAAGTTTATTTAATGTTACAAAACATGTTTATTTTAAGTCACTCGAATCTCATGTTGACTTGCGCATTCGCCATTTACCAACTCAACAACAAAAACAACCAAATAATGGAATAAATCGTACAGTAGAAAATAATAATAATAATAAAACAAACAACCTTCGAACAAACAATTTTCAAATTAAATATCCTTCAAAATTTGTTGCGGAGGAAGAACAGATTTATGAAGAGCCAGATTCGCCTTTACCTGAGTCAAAAAATAATAAAAGTTCGGAAATTAATATTTGTGCTGGAGCTGTTGCCCGTGCAAAGACTAGATTGACACATTAATTTTAGAAATTATAGTAAAGATAAGGACGTCTATTTTAATTTAAAAAATAATTTTGGAATAATTTTTATTTTTACTGTTTTTTATTTAAATAAAATATTTTTAATTTTATTTTTCTCAGTTTAATAGTACACACATTTTTTATATTGATTCTTAGTTGTTTACAAAACTATGGACTAGCTATTTAAATATACACACTTTTTTGTTAATCCTAAACATCAAAAATATTAAATGTCACTATCCCATTAAGTTTATAATTATTGCTATATTCTTAAGTTTGTAAAACAAGCATTAAAAAACATTGTAAAACATTAAAAGATTTAAGACAACATCGTAAAACAAACAAGTTTGTAAAACAAGCATAAACTTTGTTTGTTAAACTTAAGATAAAACTTTAATTTTGTAAAAACACAAGCATAAACTTAACTTTTCTAAAACTTTAAAATAAAGTTTTAAGTTTGTAAAACTTAAGCATGCTTAAGTTTTGTGAAAACTTAAGTTTAAGACTTTAATTTATCAAAACTTAACAAATAAACTTTAAGTTTGTAAAACTTGTTTAAAACTTGAAATTAAAGTTTTAAGTAGTGAAAATAAAGTTTATTTAAAAAAACATAACATGCAAACAAGTTGCAAAACAAGTTCATTTTTTTAAACTTAAGTTTGTAAAAACCCTGTTTTGGAACCAAACATAAACCTCTGCTTATATTTTTCAAATTTTCGTATTTTAATTTTTAAAAACTTTAAAAACAAAAAAAATTTTCGTGCATAATTATCTTTCTAATAAGTGACATTTTTACTCGTGCTAGGACACTTTTTTAAATAAAAAGGTAAAATACTCTTTAATCTTTTTTTCTTTATTTAAAATGCTCACATGTTCAGCTGCAACAAAAAAAACTTTTTTTATTATTTTATTTTCAAAGGGTAATAAATAATCTGTAGGAGGAGGAGAATAAACGAAAAAAAACTAAATTATTTATTTTATTCACACTCATATTTATTTATCATTTTTCGCAATCGAAACAAAATATGTACATACTTTTAGCTTTCTTTTAAAAAATAACACTTTCTTGCGACAAAAATAAAATGGCAACAATGAGCGGTTAAATCAATAAAAATAAATATTTATTTTATGTTTTTTGCATGCCTTTATTGTTTTTTAATGTTTATTTGAAGGAAGAGAGCGCTTAAATAAACATATGTTTTTATTTGATCTTTACGAACATTTTTTCTATTGGAATAATAAAGCTTTGTTTTCCGGTCAAAACTGGGCCAAGTGAACGGGTATATAAATTGAAGCTTAAATCAGTCCAAACATTTATTTTTAAGTTTCTAGTTGTTTTTCTTTGTAAAACATTTTTCAAGTTTATGAATTTTAACTTCAAGTTTGCGAAAATTCCTATGTTTAGAAACAAGTTTTAATTTAAACATGTTTTTACAACTTTTTTGGAAAACTTGTTCAAATTTTAAAACATTCAAACTTTAAAAATCCAAGTTTATTTAAAAACATTCAAGTTTGTACAAAACAAAACATTTTGATTTAAACATGTTTTTAAGTTTGCAAACTCAAAAACTTTATAAAACTTAGCTGAACAAAAACATTAATTAAGCTTATATTTTAATTATTATTAAAACTTGGTTTTAAGTTTGTGTAAGCTTGTAAACATGTTTTAAACGTTCTCTATTTTTTAAGACTATGCTCAATTATTTTTAAGTTTGCAAAACATTATTTTTACTTTCGTAACATTTTAAAGTTTTGTTTAATAATATCTATTTTGATTGATATATTTTACAAACTTAAAAACAAGTTTTGTTGTTCTAATTTTTTACTTTTTTTCCTTACAACTTAATTTTATTTTTCTATCAAAACATCAAGTTTTGTTTCAAGTTTGTTTTAATTAATAAATATTCCAGTGTTTATCACAACAACGTGTTTTTCACAACAACTTTATTTCTATTAAAACATATTTATTTATTAACTAATTTA